GGTTTGCTCACCCAGAGGGGAGGTTTCCGCAGTGCATTGTGAAGAAAAGACCAGCACATTAATCTCCTCGAAAAGTGCCTTTTGTCTTTAGGCTGAGCTCCAGAGACTCAAACTCAGAGAGGAATACAAAAGAGGCAGATCTAGAGGAATAAGAAGAGAGAACAAACTTCCTTGGATCATTTATAGGGAATTTGGTTACTTGGGGCTTGTGTTTTGACTGCTAAAAAGCATTCGTTTTATAGTGTAAAACATTGAGATTAATGTTGTGCTTTTAAGGACGTTTATATTTACCAGAGTATCACCAGGTCAGCACTTTAAAAATGTGCACATAAAATAAAAAATACCACAGAAAACATTCAAATGACCTGATATATTGTCACCCGGACGACCAGTGCATGTGGGGCAACAACTCAGTTCTATATGATATTAAAAAGGGAGAAATAATAAGAAACATACCGTTTGTGTTTATTTTAATTATTAACTTTTAAAGGAAATTAATAATATTCAGCAAGGATGCATGAAAGTGATCAAGTGGCAGTAAAGACAAAAGTGGTAAAACATGGTATAAAAGATTTTGGCAACACTTAAGTTCAGAGTCCAATTCTCACTATTAACTGTTGCTTATTAGCATGCATCCCAGATAGCAAATGACATCTGGCCCAGTTGTGGCCCACATCTCCCACATTCTTGTGGCCCACGACCGCATAGAATGACAGCGATGACTCAACCTAAGTGTGGCTTACAAAACCATACATATACATATTCAACTATGGCACATATGGCTCAGTTAGTTCACATGGGACACATCTGGGCCACACACAGCAAGCCACAACTCATACTAAAACCGGCTTGACGTGTGTGGGCCAGATACGGCCCATGTGACCTTTGCCGCTGTCAGAACTGAGCCATATGTGCCATAGTTGGCCAGATGAGGCCCGGATATGTATGCTATCTGGGATACTGTAACGCAGGAGTTTCCTGCATCCCCTCCTTCACACCCATGTTGGGAGCCGTCTCCTGAGTATTAACAACTACATTTCCCATCATGCACCCCATCTGGACTAAACACACACACACCTGTTCACCACTGATTGCTCTCACACCTGTATCCCATTTGCTCGTGTATATAACCAGCTCACAACCCTCATTCAGTGCGAAGTATTGTTTAGCCCTGGCTTTCTTACTGAGCGATTACCCACGTGTTTTCTCTTACTGGTTTAGATCACGGACAGTTTGCTGATATCTACGATCATTCTCTGGCTACCTTGACCTTGGACTGTTTCCTGGCTTTCGATTACTCTCTGGCTCCCTCGACCCTGGACTGTTTACCGTGTTCTGACGAATCTCAGCCTGGCCTGGACTTCTACGCCTGTGTATCTGAGTACTCTTTGCCTAGCCCTTCTACTATTGTCTGCTTAAATCAAATAAAAGCTGCAAATGGATCTTACCGACTCTGAGCAATCCTTACAGATACTGCTAGGATTTTAGCTGTTTATTAGAACTTGTAAAGCCCATCTTAATGCCTGATTCTGCATGCCCATATTCTACATCCCTTAATCCTACCCAATACCTAAACAACTACATTACTAACTATTAATAAGCAGTAATTTGGAGTTTATTGAGGCAAAAGTTGTAATTAATAGTTAGTTAATACTGAGACACTAACGTTTGACCAAGATTTCTATTTAAAATAATTGCTGTTCTTTTGAACTTTCTATTCATCAAAGAATCTTGAAAACATCTATTAGTTTGCTCAAATGTTAAACAGTTTAACTGTTTTCAACATATTAATAAGAAATGTTTCTTCAGCATATTAGAATGATTTCTGAAGGATCACTGAAGACTGGAGTAACGATGCTGAAAATTCAGCTTTGCCATCACAGGAATACACTTTAAAATATATTAAATTAGAAAACAGCTCTTTTAAATGTAATAATATTAAACAATATAAATGTTTTTACTGTATTTTTGATTAAATAGACGCAGCCTTGGTGAGCATGAGACATAAAAAAAAAAAGTTTCTAAAAATCTTAACGACAAAACCGTCTAGCGTTTATGGCTTTATCCTTTCTGAAGGCCAGAGGAGATTAAAAAAGTGAGAGGCATTGACTAGTCATGTGTGGAAAGGAGTATCCGGTTGTAAATACGGAAGCGGTCTGTCTGTGCAGTCCTACAGATTTCCTCTGAGGTCCCAGCCAGGAACTTGTTTTGGAATCTGCTGCTGCCTTTTTCAGCCAACACTCACCTCTCAAGCTACATCCTGTGACTCACCATATCAGAGTCATGTTGAACAGTAACATTAGTTCCTGACATGGCTTTTTCCTGATTCCATCAGCGTGACCTACATACATCAAAAGAATGGATTCTGAGTGTCATTCAGAGACTTCAGGAGGATGCCACTCACAGATTTAGGCCATGTGCACGTACGGAGTTTTTTTTTTTTTTACTTGGGTTTTCTGTGGCTTATAGTTTGCCATACTAAACCTTTTAACTCCCACTAACCAATTATTCAGAAAACACACACTGCTTCCACGAACTGACCACAAGAAAAACAATACTTCTGGATGGATAATTTGCTGTTTCAACTCTGTTATGACAGAAAACATGATAAGAGCCATTTGAGGATTATTGAGCAAGCAATTTTCAGTTTAAAAATAGATTTTATACACAACAAAGTATAGTTTTGAATGACCTTTGTACTCGATAGAAACCATAAATCAACATAATCCAGATGAAAAAATAGGTGTGCAACTTTGAATGTACAATAAGTTATGCACCTCGACACGTCCTAGTGACATCACTAAACCTTGATAACTAGCTAAGCATATCACACAGCTCAGTAAGAATGCGATTGTGCTTCCAAAGGATAAAAAGCCTGCTTTTGTCTGAGTCAACAGCTGTATTTTATGAGTCACAAGGTTCTCAAAGCTGAGCTCATGATGATGCATTCTGGTTTCGAGTGGAAATCATTTGCTTTGGCCTCACTGATCAGATGTCATAGCAAAAAGAACATTTTCTGTTGGCTAAATAATCAAATCCATCTGTGCAATGCTCATGTTAGAGGTGGGAGCTAGTCGTCATCCGATTCATTACACAACCAGTGTTCACCCTCCCTCACAGTCATAACGAAACTATGCTTGTTGAAAAGTGGCCACTGAGCAGTGACGCAATGTGGCATATCCTGTATTTTAGACATTGTGGCAAGGAGAGAGTATTTATTTGACATTTTGTGAGTCAGTTAGGGCAGAGATATCAAAATGCACTTAGATTCATATACAAGAGAATTCAATAATGACTTCAACAGTGGGCCTTAACCACAAAGCTTAGGAAAGAGATATAATAAAAGTTTCGCTCTACCATATGGACATCAGATATGCCTCAACCGTGTATTCTGTGTAAATCATTCGTACATCCATTGAATTGACATCAACTATTTACATAAGAATGGTTTTACACACACAGTACCATTCAAAAGAAGTGGGGTCGGTACGATTTTTTTCCTGTTACTTATGTTCACCATGGCTGCATTCATAAAAAATGCAGTAAAACAGTAATATTATTAAATATTATAAAAAAAATTTTTTATGCAATTTATTCCTGTAATGGCAAAGCTGAATTTTCAGTCTTCAGTGTCACGTGATCCTTCAGAAATCCTGCTCGGGAAACATTTATTATAATAAATTTTAAAAACAGTTGTGCTGCTTAAACTTTTGTGTGTGTGTGTGTGTGTGTGTGTGTGTGTGTGTGTGTGTGTGCGTGCGTGTGTGTGCGTGCGTGTGTGTGTGTGTGAGAGAGAGAGAGAGAGAAAGAGAGAGAGAGAGAGATGAAACCATGCCATTTTTTGTTTATTTCAGGATTCTTCAATGAATAGAAAGTTCAAAAGAACCGTATATTTGAAATATAAATGGTTTCTAAACATTAAAGTTACATTTTAGGTCACTATTGCATCATTGCTGAATGTAGTGTATGATTAACAAAGTGTTTCAAGGCCCATATTTAAAGCCACGATTTTTGTAAGAAAACAAAATGTTTTGTAAATCAGTCACAATGTACCTATTTACAGAGCATTTTTAAAGGTGGTATGTAATCTGTTCCAAGTAAGATAACCTGCCCAGAAAGTCACCAAACTAACAAGGTTGGGAACTGTGTGGACAGACTGCAAGATTATGACACCCTACAACTCACTGTGACACTCCACCTCTCCTCAGTCTGAAACTCCATTTACATACAGTGACTAATGTCAAAAAATGGCTGTTTGTTATATAACTATAGACAATTTCACTATCACACCACCAGTGTTTACATTTCCATGTATTTCAATGATTGTTTGTCATTGGTTTAAAATATGGTGCTAAATGTGTTGAATTAAGAAATATTCCCTTTTCATTTAATCAAAAATACAGATTTCTCTTTTACATTTATATAAATTCAAAGCATAGGCAGACAAGCCACTTAAATTGACAGTGAGCCATTTATATAGTCCACTGAATGACCAAAAATGACTATGCATCTTTTGTTCTTGTACAAACACAGAAGACCATTATTGGAGGAAACCACTGAAAGATAAAACAGAATATGAAGATTTTCACTTTAATTGCCATTGATTCTGTAAAATCCATATTTTGTTATCTCAAGTTTTGGATGGCTGTTAAAACAATCAAATAAAATAAAAATTCCTTGCAAACTGAACAAAATATGATTATTTTTATTTAGGTAATTCATAATTCCACATGATTAGTTTGAATACATGGTCACATAACTTGATCTAGATCAACTTTAATATGAAACATCAGGTTTTACATTAAAAAATACGAGTATCTTTAAGGTACATAAAATGGAAGAAATGTTATTCAACATGTACTGTTTTATAAATCTTCTAATTAAAACAGACTTGATTACATTAAAAAAAAGCAAATTTTTGTCTATTTCTAAAATCACTGAATAAATCACAAAAGAATGTAAGTTACGTCTAACAACAAAGAAAATGTGAACACATATAAAAGAAGTCGTCAATGTGCAGATTTGGTTCTCTCATATACATTTTTATGAGCTCTCGCCATCACATGGGTTCCCGCAAATCATAACTCTGTTTTCCAAACGGGCACGTTCAGCCGCAAACACAAGTTTATGACTTGCTAATGTCTCCTTAGGACCTGACCTAATCAGAGTTGGGTCCTTATTCTATATTGAGAAAGAGGGAAACATTGGGAGTGATCAAATCACTCAGATTCTACAACAAATACAGAGAAAATGATCTTACAGATCTATCGTCTTACCATCACAGCTGCAATGAAGGACTCAATCAGGTGATAATCCGCAGAGCCGTGACCTCCTTTACCAAAGTTACCTGGAACTCTCGTGTCTGCGGTGTGCTTTGTGCTTCTGTTAGTGAGGAAGTCGAACACTTTGATCTCATGTCCATCATAGGACAGTTCCCCCTTGTGAGAGAATAAACAAATAGGTGTTAAACCCCCTTACAGTCTTCAAAGTGTTGGAATATTGACACAAATGAGCAGGACGTCCCACCTTACTACCATGGATAGATGTTCTGCGTTTACATATTTCCTCTGTAAATGCTACCATGGTGAATGCGGCAGTCAAGCCTCCTTCAAACTCCATGGTCACTACCTGCAATAAATGATAATTAATAATAAAACAATATTCTTTGTTAATGACAGGAAACATCATTACAAGCATATATAAACTGTATGAGATTCACCAACCTGGTTTGAGCACACATCATTGTCACAATCGTAGACACAGCGTCCATAAGGTCCTGTTCTGAGGGCTTCAGTCACAGATTCAATATCAGGAACCGAGTTGCGACAAATTACTGAAACCGGCCAGCCATCATTCCCCTGATTTATGAATAAAATAAATAAATAAAGTAAATGTTCTTTTTGTGTTATTTGCATCATATGATTATAAGCTTCAAAAAGCATAGTAAATAAAGTTTTGGAGTTGGTAAGATATTTTAATGTTTTTAAAGGAAGTATTATCTGCATTTATTTGTTCAGAAATACAGTTAAAATAGTAATATTGTGAAATATTATTCCAATTTAAAATGTCATTTATTCCTGTGATGGCAAAGCTGAATTTTCAGCATCATTACTCCAGTCTTCAGTCACACAATCCTTCAGAAATCATTCTAATATGCTGGTTTGCTACTCAAGAAACATTTATTATTATTATCACAGTTGAAAACGGTTCATACTTTGTAAAAACTGTAATGCAAGTTTTTCAGGAGTCTTTGATAAATGGATAGTTTAAAAGAACAACATTTATTTGAAAAATAAATCATTTGTAACATTATAAAAGTCCTTACTATCACTTTTGAGAAATTTAATGTGTCCATTCTGAATCAAAGGACTCATTTCTTTAAAAAATCTTACTGACCCCAAACTTTGGAAGGGTAGTGTACATAAACATAGTGTACATTACTCTTTTCACTCGATCCAGGTAGATTTTCTTAGCAGAGTACGCACAATCCCCCTCTACAGGACAGTCTAAACAGCGATTTGCAGCCTTTGCTGGCTAGAAAAATTGAGAAATAATTTGATTTTTTTTTAAAAAATCTCACAATGGCAATGTTTTTAATTTAATAGTTAAAAAAAAAATAACAACACATAATTGTCCAAGTCCAACCTTATTCTCTTTTGTGAAGTGGCTAAGCGACCCAAATGATGAAACTTTTAAACACCTGTAAAATAAAATCCCCAAAACTATTATTTCAAAACCATCTAAACCTTAAGATCTACCTTAAAACATCATGAATATTGATACACAAAGAAGCTGGAAAAATTATGTTTTGCGGAAAGAAGTGTAAAAAAAGCAGAAGCAAAAATACAGAGCTAAGACTTGAGAGCCTTTTCTATATTAGTGACCCACTAACATGAGGTTAAAAAGACCCATCCCATGCTATCAGTTTGAACATATAGAGAAACACTGATAAACGAAGATAAGACATTCCATTCATTCTTTCTATCAATTCACTATTACTTTGTCTTCAGCTCAGCAGTGCACGTGCAGCAAGTCATGTTAGATTAAGTGTACCTTCGTCCGCCAGCCCAATGATGAATCAGATCCAAATCATGACAGGATTTGGCTAACAGAGCAAAAGAGCTTTCTGCCTCGTTTCTCCAGTTCCCTCTGACAAAGGAGTGAGCAAAATGATAGAACCCCACCTATCAGAGAAGACAGGGCTGACACAACACAGCTGCACGCAGCACACACACACTGCAAGTTTATTTAAACACAACCTACCGGTTCAAAATGTTGAATGTGGATGACATCTCCAATCACTCCGCTGTCAATCAGCAGCTGAATGAAAGAAAAAAAGTATGTTTTCTTGTGCCTGAGAGCTAATATGATTGTTTATTAGGATTTATAGGAAAGTGTAACTACTTTTATTTTGTGGATCACAGGGTCGTATCGGAGAACATGGCACACAGTGAGCATGACACCACTCTGAATGCAAGTCTCTACAATCTCTGTGCAGTCCTCCTCTGTAACCTTAGACATCAATATAATATAAATAATCAAATATTCATACAAATATTCATATTTTTTCATTTAATAACAAAATAAAATGATACACAAATTACGAACAATACCACAGAGGTTTGTGTGTCAATGAAATATAGTAAAAGAGCGAAAAATCTTGTTTATGCACTCTTTTTATTAATGGTTGTTTAATATGCTATTGAAAACCTAATATACTATTTTCGAGAAGTTTAAATTTAGCGATTCTAAAAAATGTCATGTGGTGTAACATCAATAAATAAAACCGCACATTTTCCAACTTATTAATATATATGATGTATAATAAATATTTTATATATAACAAATATTTCACATAGTACTTTTTTTTGCAAATATTGTGAATTATTTATTTTAAAAAGGGGAGGGGGAACAAAAAATAAATAAAAGTTTATGACAAAACTAATAATAATATAGTATAATATAATATTATAAACTATGATAATAGTTTTTTTCCTAATGATGATAGCAGGACAGTTGTACCATTTTTCTACTTTATACCCCCCAAAAATATCAAAATGATTTTTAATTTAATTCAGAAATTACTAGAAGAGGTATATTCAAATAATGTATGTAGTGTATGAAATGCATTTTAATTTTTAAATCAATCAACAGATCCCATAAAAAAAATTAAAAAAATCATAATGTCGTCATGGACAGGGCCCCATTAACCCAATCAGAGGCCCTGGGCATTTAACTACCCGGGGCCCCAGGCTGCATGCACACCCATACATTCCTCAAAAATGCCTACTATTGCCTTTATATAGACCCATGGTTGTGGATCATTTCCATCCTTGCGTTAACGGTATGCAGGGTAGAAATTAATGGATGGCTTTGGGCAAAATCGCCACCAAAATTCAAGATAATGCCCCTTACTGAGTTTTATTTTTATTTTTTTTATTAATAGTTTACACGAGCAAGAATGCTGTTTTCCCAAATATCAGCACAATTGCAAATGTGATATTGACTTTATACAACAGTTCAATAAACAAGAAGATAATATTAAATTTCTTACATTTTAGATACAATATTGCCTTTTTTTGCTCTATCTCACCAATGAAAATAGTTCTAAACAAAGCCACAGCAGAACCGTTGTGCATCTCCGAGCAACACACAGTGGTATTTCGTTCGTGAATGAATTGGCGTTTGGAAAGAATCGGTTGAGTGAATGATTCAATGACCCATTCATAAAGTCAGTCACTTGCTTCGTTCCTGAATGAATAAGCCGTTTTGAACTAATCAGTCATGGAGCCTTTTGGCAAAAAGACACTTACAGCCATTGGTTTCTCCAGCAATACATGGTAGCCTTTCTTAGCTAAAGCCACAGCAGGGTCCTGAAGAACAAAACAATGATTGGACACTGACTGAACCCATTTAAAGCAGACAACTTGAAGTGCAAGTTATGTCATTCATTAACAAGTAAAAAATAGCTAAGCATGCCATGCTGATCTAAATAAACTCTATCATGTGAACATTGACCAAACAAACCTTGTGAAGACGATCGGGAGTGCAGATCAATACAGCATCTGCAAATTTCTCTCTCTCTACTATAGAACGCCAATCTATGTAAAAAGCAAACAAATGTACTTCCAAAAAAAAAACACATCCAACACTTTTATTGTAACATAAAGCTGGGAAACAAAGCTGGACGTACCATTAAAAGTGTTGAGATCAGCTACTTTGTGATGTGCCTGAAGCTTCTTTCGAGCAAAATCTCTGGGGTCAGCAATTCCTACTACCTATGAGGAAACAGTTATAGTCATGGTTATTTATTTTTTCTGGTTGTGATGAAATAACAGAGTTGCTGACTGTCGATATGAGATTAAAACACAAATAATACCCGCATGCGGTCAGGATAAATCACAGCATAGTCTGAATAATTTTCTCCTCTGTTACCAGCTCCAACCACGATAACATCCACAGGCGATGGCATTATAGCAGATTCCTGCAGATTTAACAACATATAGATTTTTTTAAGTTTTATAGTTTCATTCTTCCTACAACCAAATATGTAGTACATAATTTGATCTGCCTATATTACATAGCATTTGATATCTTACCATGCAAAATTCCTAAGACTGAAGATCTGTGGTTGGGACTTTGCTTTATAGGTTTGTCTTCCTTTAACTTAACAGGGTTATAAAGGTCAGTCTGAAAGATACTGGTTACCAAATTGGAGTAAATTATTAAGTCCAAAGAGGCATTTTAGCATGGTATTGATAAATCAAATCTTTGCAGAGACAAACAATAGACTGTGAATCTGAATGGCAGAGAAATTAAAGTGAACTTGTCTTTTGTAAACAGATCAAACGCTTTGTGATATTATCAGAAGAAATAAGGGACGGGCGTCGTGTTTTCATGCGTTACCTTACACCGAGCTCTCAGCGCCTCACATCGGACTTCTTGGTCCTGAATAGGATTACGATCATATATGTGCTTGATTACGTGTATGAATACAAACTTCTCCTGTGGTTACATATATGAATATATGTAAAACAAAACACAGACAGTCTGACAGCGTCTTTTTCTGAAGACTTGGACTAGAGGTCTCGGCTCATTCACAATGGATTTGTTACTTCCTTGTTTACGTTTGAGCGATGACGTTCTAATGACGCAAGAGCAACGCTCGAAAGAACATGCCATGTACCAAGTAAATTTTTTTCCACGGAACACATACAATTTTAAGAACATCCTGGCCTAAAATTACAACAAAAACACCATAAAAGCACTTTCGGTACACGGTTCGTGGCCTATATTGTGAGCCAGTCATTGTAACAATCCAATTGTGTTAGGGACAGACCTATTTTTTTACAGTCTATGGGACAGCCCGATATACTGAAACATTGAGAAAAATATTGATGTTCATATAGTAATGCTAAATTAACGAATAAACGGATTTTTTGAGTCGGGTATTTTAAATTACGTTTGCACTTAAGTTTTTTGTTGTTGTTGTTTGCATTGATTTATTAAACCTCATTGGTTTTTCTGTCCTAGTTATTTTTTCTTATTTCATTTCGCATCTCTTCTTTTCTCCCTCGAAATGTATCTGGGTTTATAGGTTCTTATTCTTACAATATTCTTTAAAATATTATTGTAACTGTTTTTCAGGAAATGTATATCTGATACTAGAGTTTTTTCTACTTTTTTCACTTTGTTCATTTGATGAATGTGTCGGTTTTATGTAAGAGATGTAGGGTTTAGCATCAAGATCACCTGAGGTAGTACTCCCTCTTGTGGACGTAGTGATACACACAGCTCTCCTAATTGGATCTGTGATGTTTAATGACTTTTAATTTAGTTTTTAACAAAACCCATTCACACTCAAAAGGTGCAATAATTTAACAAAAACTGCACATTTTTTGTACTCTCTGTCTATGCCATATACTGGATTACTTTTAGCTCTTAACTGTTCACAACTCACCCACAAGTGTGTCACTAGACACCTAGCAGCCAATTTCTAAAATTTGCTGAGACAGTGGTGGTGGGACTCATCATTTGGAAGAGCGTAAAGAGGGGAGAGACAGTTGTGGTGTACAGAGTAGTGGAATCTCTTTCAAGAAAGACAAGAAAGAAAGGGATAATGACTCAACTTGAGTGGACTTTGTCTTTGCAGCAAATCCAACAAACGAAGACCAACAAAAATCTGGATTTTTTGATGAATAGAAAGTGTTCAAAATAAATTTTTTATTTTTTATTTTGAATGTTATTTGTGTTGGAACATTGTAAATGTCTTGTAGATGTATTTACTGTCACTCCCTGCTAAATAAATTAATTCATTTAATAAAAATCATACTGCCCCAAACAAAAAGTAATATACACGTCTGACAAGACTACACCAAATGTGAAATTTTGACAAAACTTAAATAATAAAAATTCCAACACAAAAACCCTATAAAAATTCTTGCCATAACGTTTGCCTGATTAAACAAATCAATATAAAGACATGAGACATTCTGCTAAAGTCATTCTCACCATCAGTTCATAAATAAACATCTTGAGCATGTTTCATCTCTAGTGGACAGTACATGGACCAGAGACTTCTCGTTTTATTCTAGCCCTCAGTCTGCGCAGTTCTACATGGCCACTGTCCACTTTAAGCCCGGTCTCTGTCAGAAGCCAAGCTTTGTCAAGTTTCTGCTCTCCATAGTTCTGCAGGGCAAAGCGCAGGAACTTTTCAGCAAGGCGTTGTGTTCCCAGACCAGCCTCCACACACAGCAGTGCCTGTCCCTCATGCAGATCCAGGGCTTGAGAAATGTCCTGTAAGCCAGACTCTTCATGGGAACACAATAGCAGACTACGGCCTCGGCGGCAAAGGTCCTCTGCCCAAACCTTTGGCTCCTCACTCCCATCTGCATTGTGGCCCTGAATGACCTTATTTAAATCAGACACAGCCCTGTCGTGGAGACCCAGGTGGGCCAGGCAGGCTGCACGCTGCCTGAGGTACTGAAGCTTCAACTCACTGACCGCTCGCACTGCTAGCGTGAGGAGGGCTAAAGCGTGCTCCCACTGGCCACTTTCAGACACAATGCCGGCCTGCTGGGATGCTGCCTGGAAGCACAGAATCATTGTATGAGACACTGTAGAGTTAAGTAAAGTCATCAATACAGAAGAGAAAATAGAATAATAAAATGGATAAAATGTGTAATTTATGTGCAATTTAACTGTAATGGGTTATCTGTATCTGTGCCCGTTTTGGGTGGGATTTGCATGTGTTTTAGTTCTGTTTCCTGTGTTCATATAAGTTCCCATGGTTTCCCATTGACACACACACACAAAGTACAAACTACAATACACTACACTATGCTAAACCTACCCATCACAGAAAACTTTCTGCATTTTTTAATTTTCAAAACACTTAATTTAGTATGATTTATAAGCTGTTTTCCTCATAGGGACCAAAACAAATGTCCCCATAAGGTCAAATTTACTGGTATTACTATCCTTGTGAGGACATTTATTCCACATAACGTAGGAAAAACCAGGTACACACACAAACACACATGACTAGTGATTACCTGTGCCAAGCGTTTTCTTTGAGCTGACTGCATGAGACTGATTAGAAAGTCTAGAGTTGCTGGATCTTTCTCAGCCACCACACTCAAATAGTTGGTTGCCACTTTGTAGTTCTGCTGCCAGGCCTTCACGACACCCCACCTGGCCTTAGCTGCGACATCTCGAGGCTCTTGACCAAACACCTGCTTCAGATGCGCTCCTGCAGCATTCACCTCCCCTTTACAAACATCGTTTCAAACGCCAACTTTTAAAACACATTTTACATAGACATAATGTATACATTTTTAATGTGTCTAACACATTTGATGTGGAATAAACAACCAACTGGCCCACATACTTGACTCTTTTATGCTATATACTGCTCCCTTACCTTTGGCAAATAGTGTATCTATGTACAGGAGGTGCCACCTGGGTTCCCTGCAGTCAGTGTTCATTAGTGCTCCACCAATCAAAAAGGCCTCTCGAAGGTGCTCCTCCCGGCAGGGTACAGGGTTAGCCAACAGAGTCTCTGACAGGCTGCTGCGACAGTACTGACCCAACCATTCACTGACCAGTCTCTTTGCTTTTTCTTTAAGTGACAGCATGCTCTGAGTGACCTCCTCAGCACCACACTGAAGGGCAACTAGTATGTCTAGTGTGCATTCCTGGTGAATTATTGATGTTAATAGTGTCAGTTTACAAGCATGTAGGAAATATTACTTTAAGCGTCTGTTATTTCAGCCACTGATCTTGAAATATTGGTAACACTTTACAATTAAGTTCAACTTGACATATAAATTAAATAATGCATTACAGTTTACAGCATTTTCGTTATTTTTTATATAAATAATGTAATATGTATAAATATAAATTAAAATGTCTGCATTAGTGATGTAGAAGTTAACATTAACCAAGATTTTTGCATTTTATTGCATAAAACTATGCGTTAACCTTATTGTAATATGTTACTGAATCATGAACCCATCTTTAAAAACACTTTTTGGTTTCTATAGATGGAGGTCTTTGTTTTCTGGTACCACACCTTCTGCTGGTTCAGCATAAGATAAGTGAATCCTCTTCCACACAAAGCCTGCACATGGTCTGGGTGCTCTTTAAGGATCGCAGTGAAGTCAAAGATAGCCGTCTTCCATTGGCCCAATAGAGCATAACATTTTGCTCTCTCCAGCAGGGAATCTATTGCGCCACCACCTAAAGAATAATCGGTTAACACAGTTAAGAAAATTAAGTTACCTTTATCTCTTTATTTACAATATAATTGCTGTAAGTGATTATGAGAGTTACATGAAACATAAAGACCAAGATCATATAATGGAAATCAATTACAGAAGAAAGTAAAAGAAAATTGCAGAGCTGGAGAGGAAACTTTTTTTTTTTTTTTGTAGAAACTGCGTCAATCAGATACAATCAATGGAGTAAATTCCTGTTTGCATTTGCACATTTTCCTCTACATTTGACCCTAATAACCATATATATTTTGTAATGTAAATTAATATATTACTGCATGTGTCTGAATTTAACATGTCCTCATTACCTGAAGCCATAATGGCAATGGACAAATAGGCCACAGCTTCCCTTATTGCACTTTCCGCTTGTTGGCCACACAGTATACGTTGGGAAGCGGTGTGACAATGTTTTTCTAGAAGTGCTCGGTCTTGTAAAGATGCTACAGAGAGAAGGGGACGTAGGCAGCTTGTGTCTCCTGAATTAATCAGCTTTTTCAGTAGCTGTAAGACACCAGAGATATTACTTGATATGAAGCAGAAAATGAAAAAACTATTATCATAGAAATATTGAATCATTTAAATGTGATAAAACTAAGGAATATTATCTGGCACCTGATAGGCATCATAGAGGAAACCTCGATGCAGCTGCAGAGTTGCAAGACGTGCGAGAATCGGTGGACGTGGGGCTGTGTGCTCAATGTTGAGAAGAAGACGGTAAGCCTCCTCAACACGACCCAACTGGTACAGAGCATCTGCTGTGAGAATCTGGGGTCCATCGGCACCGGGCTGTAACTCCATTAGTAGAAGAGCAAGAGCGTGCACTCCAACGGAAGACCTGAAGGAAGCACAGGAAAATGAATATGACAGTGGTGTCCAATCCTGCTTCGGGAGGGCCAAGGTCTTGAGGTGCGTTCAGGCCATGTCGTAATTACCGTAACGATTCTGAACGGTAAAAAGCCTTCACGTGCTTGTATAACTTGAAATTAAAATGTGTAAACTCATGATTTTCTGGGAGCAATGACTTGTACCACATGGCTGTGCTGTACCACCTAACCACTGCAGATTTAAAGTGTGTCCGATCGGTGTACGACATCAAAGTAACGCAAGAGCGAATTTGAAAGCATACACAGCTTTATTTACAGTAATTATGACATGGCGTGACGTGAACACAGCTACAACACAAATTAAACACACCTGAACCAGCTAATCTAGGTATTCAGGATCTTTTGCTGTGTCTCATTTCGTAGACTGCACCCTAGGGAGGTTGCATTTGTCGGAAACATACGTCACCAAGGCTGTCTCATTTCAGAAAAGTAACCATTCTAAAATTGATTGTTATTGCTTGTGAGACATAAATTACTGTAATTTACTAATTACCTCGGAATCTAATGGTTACTTTTCTGGAATGAGTCAGCCTCCATAATCTATGCAACCGCGGTAAATGTGACCTCTGGAGGGTGCAGCCTTCGAAATGAGACACAGCAACTATAAACTTCTAAGTTAGGTTGGAGATAAACTCTAAAGACAGGTGGCCCTCCAGGAGTGCTTATCGACACCGATAAGCCAATAATTATTTTCATGTAATGGCTGATTCTATACTATTTTGTCTAAACACATTAAAAATTCAACAGCAAAAACTAAAATAATTTTAAATGCTACAAAGTGTATGTGGGCATGACAATATTACAATTCACAAAGTGGATATTCACTTTAAGACAAAAGGAGAGATTTTGCAAGACAATTAAGTTTCATTCAGAATCTGAAAAATGCAAATGTACCTCTGTTTGTTGTTGGTGTGACCTTCCTCGTGCTCTTGTTTTGCTGTAGGATTTGAGTCAGCTTTTTGTTCTTCGGTCCCCTCAAGCATAACCCTTCCCTGTTCCAGCAACACAGTGCACAGCAACCCACGGTAGTTCCATGGCACCAGGCACCGAACAGTTACAGCGGTGTCCTGCAGCTGTAATCGGCTCGCCGTAACGTAATCTAGAGCAGTAAGGTAGTGTGAGCCCCCCATCATACGCAGGACACCCCTGCCACAGAGTGCACGGACACAGCTGGGTGGGTGAGGAGTATTATGATTAATAACTGCTTGGAAATCTTCCAGAGCACCTTTATGGTCCTCGGTGAAGAGTCGTGAAAACCCTCTGAGCACTTGCACGGTGTTCTGGTAGCTCTGCTGGGCTGGAGCTGCAGCGGCTAGCTGGCTACTTATGGAAAGGGCTTCTTTATGTTCCCCACGCAAGAGGAGGCAGTCTGCTAGACGCACCCGCAGTTCCCTACCTCCTCCGTCTGACTCCAAGTGGCAGAGAGCTCGCAGCTGAGCAATAACGGGATCCAACAACTCCACTCCTTTTGAAGACCGGAGGTCAGGCCTTATAAGAACTGCCTCCCTGAACTCCAAAACGCCCTTCTCGGCCTGTTGGCGCAGCTGGATGCGAGCAGTCAACCCTATGCCATTGTCCGAGAAAAGGCTCTGGAATTGCTGTCTTGCTGTCGCCGGATGAAGTGCAAAGCCGTCACCCAGGTCTTTGCAGACTTCTCTTGCTCGTCCTCCTACTGAAAAATGAGCAGCTGCTCTGCCCACCAGTAAACAAGCTCTTTTCTCTGGTGCCATTACATGTTCAGTCTGTGATTCATCTAGTTTAAGGGCCAGCGACAAAGCTTCTGCACTTTCTGTGAACTTTCCTGATGAAAACAAGACTGCAGCTTGAAGTTCTCTCACCTGGATGTCATTAGGAGAAATGGCAAGTAAAAATTCAACCGTTTTGGTGGGATCCATGTCGTCACTTGCTTGTGTAGGACTCGATGCTTGCTCTATCTGCCCCTTAGCATGAAGTATGGAATATCTCAGATACATTTGCTGGTAAAAGGCTTTAATTAATAGTTCCACATGTTTAGTTTGCCTTTCTTTAACAAGTCTAATAGTTTCTGATTTATTTCCATTAAAGGCCTGCAGATAAAGCTGAGGACCTTTGGGGTTTTGAGGGTCTGAGAGCAAGCAGGCTAGAGCCCTAGTTAACTCCAGAACTAACCGTGTGTGACCTTCAGGTTGGGGCATTTGTTTTCCCCCTAGAAGAGCGGAACACCGTGCGAAAATCTCGTCCGAGGCATGACCTGTCCCCTGCAGGACAGACTCCATTTTATAAAGAGAAGCAGAAATATTATTGGGGCATAATGTAGACAGAAATACAGCAACAAGACCTTTGCTCAGGCCCTCAACTGAGTTGTGCGAGACGCCATCAAGCCAGGCCTCCAGAGTTGAGATCACCTCCTCTAAGAAACCTGTGTCAAGGCCACGCATGTGTCCTACGGTGGATCCTGCATGATTTCCAAAAGCATGGGTGTACAGAGCAGCAGCTCTGCCAGGGTCCCCAGAGAGCAATATTTTGTCCCCCTCTCTGCACAGTTCAGCTGCACCTTTATGCATGCCATTCATCTCTCTTCACTGTAATGCTATTTACATTTGGACATTTCCTCCACAAGGGTCCTCAAAGATCTTTGAAAGAATTTGAAAGCACATTACTAAAAAGCATTTTTCTATTGCTCTTATTAATATCATGCATTGAATGAGTTACTATAAATATGAATTGGATAAATAAATGACACTAAATTGCTGTTTTAAAATGTCTTCCTTTTGAAATATAACTAGTATCTTTTTTGTTACTACTTTATTTTTTAAAGTAGTAACTGTAGTACTAGTAACTGTTCATAGGCAATAGTATTTATTTATTCCAATATTTACTAGGCTATATTAAATTAGTCCATTGTACCAGGTACTTATTCCCTAGTTACTAGGATTCCAGTGACAACTATCTTTTCCAGCGTTACAAGTTTATTTATTAAATAGTAGTAGCTTGTAACTATATCTATCCCATTTAACATCCCATTTAAGTTGTTTCCTTGTGATATAATGGCTACAGGCTACTTTATAGTTCAAGTAGGAATCTTATTAAAAATGTTACTAGTTCCATTTCGGATAGTGACTATCAGCAAATGAAGAACAAATATCCCATAAGTACTTGCTTCACTAAAAAAAATTAGGAATAAGCACTAGGCTATCTAATGAATTGTTGTTACTACAAAACTACAGATACTAGTCCGTATCAATGGCTTATCAGTTCTAAGCAATAAATGTTAACATGGCTTCCAGCAGACACCAAAGTAAAAACAGATTTTTATGAAAAGAGCAGGCACTATATCGAGATTAGCGGATGATTTACTCACCTTTCTGTGTCTGCGAGAGTTTGAGCGAGAGGGTACAGTCCACGCACTTTTGGTCGGCTTCTCCTGTCTTATCTTAAACGAGTTAAACATTATTTTCTGAGATGTACCGCATATTAAACACTATTTAGATAGACCACATATGAATCTTCGTAGACTTTTTTCTTCTTCTTCAAAATAACTGTCAAAAGATGCGACTGCTGGTTAAAGAAGACCGCTTCGCGCTGCATGTGTTCACTAGTTGCTATGGAAACGATCAACTAACAATGTGTGTTCTAAGAAAGTTTAAATTTCCTAACCATTACGTTATAGAACCGTTATTTCCCAAAACCCAGGGAATGTTTAAAACTTCTTTTTTTTTAATGTTTTGAAAACGTTCTGGTTATACAAACGTTCTAGAAAACGTTATTAAAACATTATATCTTCTTATTATGAACATCCTGTTGGTATTTTGCTTAAATTCATGTTGTTGCACCAAAATTGTCCACAAAAGTGTTTTTTAAATTTACTTTTAAAATACACAAACTTGAATATGACTGAAATTGCGACACTTAAAGAGGATTAGATAAAAGTAACAATTATAAAACAGAACATAAAATAATGAAAATAGTAGAGATAATGGAACACTCTAAATTAAATTAAAAATGTGCTCTATCAAATGAAAACATAAAAATAAAAAACATTCAAAATATTAATAAAAACTATAATATCTCGATACTATAATGCTCTTTGGTAGGTCATTCAGGGAATGGGTCCTCAGGCTGCAGAGAGAGCAGAGAAGTGCTGATGAAATAGAGACAAACAGGATGAAAAATCATGTAACACTGGACTTAAGTATCAATGAGACCTGATTATCTATAAAAATGTCTTTATAATACTTATGGACAAAATAAAACTCCAAAACACAAACAAAATGTTACTATGTCTGTTTTTTCCCCCCTTATTTTTCTTAATCAGTCAAATGTCAGATTTCTCCATCAAGGACACATGCTTGATTGTAGAACCTGCAATACTTAATATATTAATTTAATAGTAATATATGCAATACTCAAAATAGTAGGCGGCACAGGGCATGTTAAAGGTGCAGTAAGCAATTTCTGAGAAAAGCTGTTGAAAGTGGATCTGACCAAGCACCAATTCACACGTGTAGCCAATCAGCAATAAGGGCCGTGTCCACACATGAGATTGGAGTGTGATTTTTTGGGTAGGGGCGGGTTTGTTTTGATGATTTCAAATATTAACAGCGTTTCTCAGAAATCGCTTACTGCACCTGTCTGGTTATGTCAGTATGCAGATCATGACACACATCCAAAGTACTTCAAAGTACCATGTAGAAATATTACTTTCATGTAAAAGGCTAACAGGGCTGTGTATCGCAAAATAATGGAAAATAAGAAGTATTACAATAAAGCTTTCATGTCGGCCTGCATAGAAAAACAAACATGCAGCGCGAGTGTAGTCTGTCACGAACAAAAATTTTGTTTTTTTTACTGAATTGCTCAAAAAGACGAGTAACTTACCGGTTTGAATCAGTTTGACTGCATTCACTATATGACGTTACTGCAAGAATGTTTGCTCATAACTTTGACAGAACCTTCTGAACACTATAAATTGTTTTTAATTTTAACATGGTAAGAATACATTTTACATTAAAATACTCCCATGTAAAATGTTTTTTTATTAGTTAAAAGTATTACTGTTTACTTTTTGGAAAAAATATTACATTTAACAAGGCAATTCATCCAGTAGGCCTAAATATAATTAAATATTCTCACATTTATTTAATAATCACAATAATTAATAAATATAATGTCATTTGGAATCACCAAAGTGGGTTTGAGGGATGACATTTCACATTTCTCAGAGAACATACCTTTCTTTGAACTGACAACTAGCAAATAGGTTGTGGTAATACAAGCCTGGAAAAACAAAATAAAAAAGATGCTTTTGATGTGGTTTAAACAGTAGTCAGATGAACCTCCACTGTAGGGGAAATTCCTTGTTCAGAGGCCACAGCAACTGTTTGCTGACATTCACTAAACCTAATGTCAGAACTTTTCTCTTTCTGCACAGCAAGGACACTTTCACTGTCACACTTTTTATTTTATAATAACTGTCAAGATCTGAACTATACATATTCCACACATCAATCAATTATGTTTTTATTAAGAAAAGTTAAAAAATACACTGGTGTGACAATGTGAATGAAGTAATACTAGCCCATGTAATATGACTGAGAGCTTATAATAACCTTTAGCGTGAAACATATACAGTAAGCACCTACGTTTATCCTGAAAACCAGTACAGTACGTCCTTAAATTGATAGTGGATGATAAAGGCCTGGTTTCACAGACAGGGCTTCAATTTAGCCAGTAGTAGGCGTTAGTTAAGTTAAGACATTTAAGTAGGTTTTATAAAAGTGCCTTAAAAAAAAACATTACTGGTGTGCATCTTGAGACAAAACAAAGACACATTTTAAGATATTTCCGTGCAAGTTGCTTTCAGTTAAATTAGCTCAAACATGCATTTTAGTTTGGGACTAGGCTTAAGCCTTGTCTGTGAAACCAGGCAATAAATATTTTTTTAATTCAAATTTAGAATCAGTAAATTATTCTATAAATATTCACATTTGTACGGTATAGTGACAAGGCAGATTCACGGGACCAAGGACAAGGATTATAATCCGTTATTACAAAGCCACTGATGCACTTTATAATTTGTATTTATTTTACAGTATGCTTAAATAAAACAACTCAGGAAACTGAATATTTTTAACCATGACTGAGCGTTTCCTGTTAAAAGTACAGAAGACATAGCATCTGCCTTGCAGAGTTCCCTGTAAATGATTGTGAAATTCAACTGCAGCCCTCACACATGAGGAGATGGAGTCAAGATGAGGCAGATTACATGCTAGCCTGCAGTTGCTCTAGCTTCTCTTGCAGTTCCTGGGCACAGCCAGACAGGTTCATGTAGTGTAATGTTGAGTAGATATTCTCCAGCTTCGCTCCACTGCTCTGACTCCACAGGCGCAGCATCAGGTACTGCTTTTCTAGATAGGATGGCCCTGCCTCCAGTTCGATTCGATCCATCTGATCATCTGACACGGAAAGCAGTCGCAGAAATTCCTTCCAGCGTGTCACAGGAATCTCTCTTATGATGGTGTAGAGCACTGGTGCTGGCCAGGACTCCTTCTGCAACACCTGCATCACTGGGGAAATATATAGATCTGGCCTTTAGATACAGAGGAGTTGGATTAAACAGAGTAAAATGGTTTTAAGTGTAAAAGGTCAAGAAACCCCGAGCTGTCAGGTAAAATCTCCTGTTGATTGATTTTGATATTTGAGTTGAAAATACTTAATTGTACACTCTGTAACTTTTTTCGTTCAAAATTAACTAAATTTAAATAACGAGTCAAAACATCATCAATTTAAAAGTCCCGTTAAAAAACCCCCACGCAAAATAGAGGAAAGTCTGCTGGCAAAAAGAGAAAGCAGAGCTCGTTATAAAACGAAAATCAACATGATTGAGGATTCACGATCAAGCTTGGCTTTTCGGAGATTTGAAATGTTGTTGAAATTAATAGTCCATTACAAGATAACAATCGGTCTAGCAACAAGACAAACACTACAACTGGCGGTAGATCCTTTTCCTATTTAGCACCAAAACAATCTTCCGGGAAGCAGACACAGTCTGACAGTTCAAATCTAGACTAAAAACACATCTCTTTGACCTAGCATATAACACATTATAGACTTCTATAATTCAATGTTAGGCTGCATAGTTTAGATCAGCCGGAACCGGGAACACTTCCCATTAATCCTGATGTACTTGGTACATCATATGAAGGATGGCATCTACGCTAATATTAGTCTCTCTGTTTATCCCTAGGATTACCGCAGTCCGCCGGATCCAGGCCGTATCCAGATCTGAAGAAGGACCAGCGCCTGGACACGACGACAACGCAGTCCTGAAGTGTCAACTAGTCTCTCCCCTGTGAAGCCCTCCCTTCCCTTTACCTCTGTACAGATAAAACGTTGTCGGGATAATTCCGGTTCGTGTGGCTACGCAAATGCAACAAAAAATTCTGTATTATGCATTTTTAAGACCAGACAAGTAGTTTGTTGAGGGTTGATTTGTGAAGGACTACACGCCTGCGCACATATATATTCAAACGCGCATACCTATTGACTGAACACGTGATGCGCATGTTCGCGCCGTCTGCGTTTTCCCGGGTTTGCGTTTTTCAAGTTTAGGAAGAGATAACGAATAATCGTTTGCACCTTGGAACCTCTTTCAGGGAGTGCATTCTCGAGACACCAGGCACTGTTTTGTGCGGATGGGCGGCCGGAACGCGTTAAGAGTTTTTCTGTTAGAACGTATGTATTTTATTGTGTAGTGTTTTTGGGTTAAATGAAATGCAAGTAAACTTAACAGAAAATCCCAAGACAGAAAATGACCAGCACCTTCTCTGATTTCTACCGATGTACAATAAATAAGCCATAGAAAAGCAAGTTACGTTTTTATGAAAAGAGCGAGCCCGCAGTGTGATACAAAAGACATGAAAGTAGCGCCGGATGAGTGGACTGATATACAGTGTTTTAGCAAATATCAGACCGTTGAATAGTGCAATACTCCAATCAGAATTAAGTATTCCAGAGAGCCGTGCAACTTTTAACATGCAGTTGTTAAGTAAATAAAAGAAAAAAATATTAAGGCTGTTTAATGAGAACTAAAACAAAAATCCCTCCTTTTTTTATTCGTATCTACTCTGAAAATCATCTACTGCATTTAATCAGCCATTTTTAATGCCCTTTCAACATAAAGTTGTGAGGCTCCTACCACACCGCCAAGGAAGCAACTAAAAAGTGTGCGAGTTATTAGAAGTTACTATCTGATTAGACAGTTCTCAGAAGTTCTTTGACTTTGATTGTGATCACCTAGACTCCAGGCTTAGCATACAATTTCTCATACGCCTACACGATTCGCAAAGGGATAAGACTGAAAGACTCGAAATGATTAGAAAAGCAATCACAAGATTCGAACGGTTTTAAAACAGAGTACACCTAGGCTACACTTTATTAAGATTTTCAATATCTAAATTTTTCATATAATTACATTTTGGGTTTCCATTTGCTATCAGGGGTGCCATGATGCTCTGTAAGTCTCCACTGAAGACGCTGTGTGGGAAGCTGGTCACCGGTAAAGTTTTGATAGAGGTTTCATTGCAGGCTGAGGTATATCTTTCCTTTAAAGACAAACAAATGATTATCAAGGTGATGACTGTCACTTGAACATGTCAGAGATCAACATTTCCACCTTGTAATTTCATTGTGCATAATAGGAAAAATGTACAAAAAAAAAATACAAACCATTGCTATGGGAATGTTTATTACATCATTAGGTTGATCTGCTAAAACAAAAAAATCTTTGTCACTACATACATTATCTGGAATATAACATACAGATCTTCTAAATCAATGTGCATTTCCTATTTTAAAACAGAAATATGTCTCAAATCACAAAATGAACAGAAACAAAACCAACGTCCATCCAAATTGAGTACATGTGACAGTATATGAACCTGGTTGAATGTGAATGTTTGACTGTTTGCCAATATGCCAGGTTTTGGACGGGCAGCAAAGCCATTTCCATCTACAGAACCGGATGAGTAGAAGACAGAGAAGACCACCCAATAAGACCACAATGATGAGAGACACCAGCAACAGCAGATTAGGAAATCCTAAGATAATGGACAATTTATTTAAACACAAAAAAAAATAACATTAGTATTTCTTACTTATAAGGTTTGCATAAATATTTCTAAGAGGATGTTAGGATGTTGTGATACCTTGTGTTTCAACTGTGGTACAAAAAGATTTACACGACTCGCTCTTGCAGCTAAACCTGAAACAAATTACATTAAGCAATAGGACAATTAACATTTACTGTGCCTTAAATCACTTTCATGACAAATGTCTCCAAACTGTAGGCTCAACTATAAAATAACTACCAACGTATATACCACAAACATTTTTACAAGCTTATAAAAACAATTTATTCTATTCTTTGGTGAGGTGGAAACTGAAATAGTGTTTTATTGCTAATATCATGGGTAAACAATAGAAATGTGCCCGAAGCCGAATACCTTATAATGCCTTCAAAACGAATAACGAATTCTACCGAATTATTCGGCAGACACAGTTACTCCTTGTGTTTGCCGAATAACAGGTTAGCAAACGGATAGCATAGCACGATATTATAGCTGCATAAACCTCTAAAATCACTGCGCAATAATTAGTGTGTAAGTGAATGAGTTACTATATGAATGAATTTAAAAAAAGCTTGCGATAGCAAATCTAGATTCATTTAAAACGGCCTACTCATGTAATTTGACGAACTTCCGGTTAAAGCCCAACCCACTTCCGGATTTATCCGAATACAGATATAGATACAAATCATTTTGAGACAGTTACCAATACAGATACTCGCTCCACTCCATACCCTTAGTAAACAGTCAAAAGCAGGAAATTCTGATGCTGATGTTAAACCATATGCACAGGAAAACCACAACCCATTAACCTACATGCAATAATAATCAAACAGAAACTTTCAAAAATCCTTGTTCTCCATAAATAGAGTAATTTACCAAAAAAAACATCAAGATTCAAAGCACAGAAAATTGTGAATATTCGGCCACATACTCTACACAGCTTTGGCATCGTCCACCATCCAGAAAATAGCCATTCTTACAAGCTACTGCTGTGGTTGTAGTAGTCGTTTGTCGGTTACATTTCTCTTTACAGTTCAAACCTGAGTGACAGATAAAAGGAAAAAAAAAAAAATATTCAGTCATAGTTTCCAGGCCACAAGATGTTCAGCATCTTTTTTATTACAATAGAAAGCATCATCTGTGTCCCTTGGTCAAAAGTTTGTACACTTCCTTTAGTAGTACTTACATTCTATGGGACTGCAGTCTTGGCAATTACAGGGTTTACAAAAAGCACCTGATTTGTAAAACCCAGGTTGACAAACGCAGACCCGGTCTTGTGTTGATGTGCAGGTGGTAACCTCTACTTCATTGTCTGTAAAACCATGATTGTCAGAGTCTTACAGTATATCCAGATTTAAAGGTCATCCTGCTACAATTACATAAATTACAAATAGTGTATTCTAATATTTTACTTACCACCACTATCACAATGGGAACATTTCATGCAAGATCTCAATTGATTTACAGTGTCCGAGAAATGATCGGCCTGACACTCTACACAGAAATTTTCTTTTTTGAAAAATCCTGCAAAATATGATAAAATACTTATTGCAGAGAGGTGGAGGTCCATCTTTTATGCGTGTTTCACTGTGGTTTTACTATTACTTGTATTTTAAACAGTGCGAGGCACATCCGTTTACCTGCTGAACAACTTCCATCTGCCATGGGTGCTCTTGTACTTTGGCATTGGCATTGGGAGGCAATAAATAGTATAAATACCTGAAATAAAGACAATTAACTGCAATCAAATAAATAAAACATGCGGTTTAACAACCTGTCAATGTCTTCTGAACATATGAAATACCATCATATTTAAATACCCAGCATCTGAATATCATATATACCCGACAACATCATATATCTGAATAGATGTATTTAATCAGGGGGTTTCAAATATTTGTAAATTTTCATACAAAGATACTTTGTGAGAAATAGTGTGATAAAAACAACACTATATACATTGAAGTATGAACATGTTTTTTTCCTGAAATAAAAGACAACTGTTGATATACACTAAGAGGACAGAGCTGTCAAATAAATGTGAGTAGCATTGCTCATATTATTTGAAGAATTTGATGAGAAATAATTGAGTTTATACTGTAATATCAGACTTGCGTCGGTATTTTAGCAAATTTTAGAACAGTTTGAGCAGATTATTTGTAATTAATGCCATCCTTTTCAGTAATTACATTAATCAATCTATTGACAAACACATCCTTAGTTCACCCTCAGGTTGTTCCAAACCTGTATGAGTTACTTTCTTCTGTTGAACACAAAAGATATTTTAAAGAATGTTGGTAACCAGACAGTTGATGGTAGCCATTGACTTCCATTTAATTTCTTTCCTACCATGGAAGTCAATGGCCGTCAACTGTTTCATTATCAACGTTCTTTAAAACATCTTTTGTGTTCAACAGAAGAAAGAAAATACAGGTTTGGAACAACTTGAGGGTGAGTAAGGGAGGACAAAAATAAATACAGACAGAAAGATCCCTTCGAAGTTAGCCAAAAGTGGACTTTAAAATCTTTTTTTTTTTTTTTAATCTTAATTCTAACAATCTAATACATTTTTTTATATATTGTTTCTTATGCCCCATCCTTTTGAATCCATGTTTTGCATTGAGGTCTTAAACCCTCAGGCTTAAAGACCCACATATGATTCATGAATTTAAAAAAAAAAATGTTATTTATTAAATGTATTACTATAATATATATTTTGCTACGTAGCCATGATCATTTAACATAAGTCTGCATTACACATATCTGTTATTTTCATTGAGGTTAACAAAATTAGTCGCAACAATATGTGGCCAAATTAAGACTAAGACTAAGGTTATTGTAACAGGATGGTGGTTACTGAAGGTATTTCTCAACAACCTGTAATCAGAAATGGAAAAAATAACAGAGCATGAGGTACAAACATTTACAATAAGGAAAGATAGCAATTATAGCACATTTCTAAGGAATGCTGGTAAATAAAAAGGACTTACCCAATCAAAACACAGTGTTGACACAGTCATGTTGAGATGTTCAGTTTCAGCTAAAGAGTCATGAATGACGAGTAATAGTATGATTTGAATTCATAGACTTACAAATTGATGAGACCATGAAATATTCCAACTCTGCTTCATGTCAGCATGTGTGGCATCCACCATCTGCCTCACTCTGACAGAGTATCTGTGCAGACAGGAAAGTGAGTAACCAACCAAGAAAGCTTTATGTACAAGATCTAAGAGAGTGTGACAGATGAGAAACAGGAAAACACGTCAGACCAATAACCTCAGCGTGGTACGGTTGAATATCAGATCGTTTGGTTAATAAACTTATCCCATGCATTCATTAATTTGATCATAAGCTATATCACATTCCATAACATAATAAAAATGAATGAAATTATGAATTACCAAATTACACATTTGGAAACAATAACATCCAGTGGAGGATCATTTTAATTTTTCCTCAGTTAGTAACTATTTATAGTTTGAATGGTGGGGTCCCAAGTTTGAATAGAATTTTGATTGGATAAAGTAAAACTAGTTTGTTCTGTGTTTTCACTTCTAGGTGATACTCTCAATAGGGTTAAATGTCCTACTGTAGCTAAGCAAAGAAGACAAATTGGTTCTCTTGTATCTCTTGTATGTAAACATGTTGTGGGCTAATTGCTTCTTGGTCTAGCTCGCTGTAGCTTGGTGTCTGCTTTAGCCCTAAAATTTGCTTCATGTAATAACATTTAAATGTATACATTTATATAATGTTTTGACACAAATATGCTGAATGTATGATTCAATGACTCACCTACAAAAACAATTCACTTTTTGCCACCTACTGGGTGTAAAGAGAGAAGAAACTTGCAGAGAGAAACCTCACCACCTCTCTAACGCCACAAGCAGAGTGATACAATCGGCGAAGAGTCTGAGTGCTAAGGGAACGCCGCTCAGCCAATCAGATTCGAGAACTGGAACTAACTGTTGTGAATTGTGCAAGAGATTTTACTAAGTCTAAATATTATTTCGCATCACTGAATCAACCTTAATACATTAATTTACACGAATAAAACTAAATTTAAAGTAGAAATAATTATTTAAGGTAACAACTTCAGGTTACCGCGGTCACGAACTGCTCCGAGACACGAAGATTGAGAATCCAAATACAGTTTTCAAATGGGAAAATCCAAGATCATAAACCGTATTACAGGCAATATGGTCAAAAGCACAGGGTAATTAGTCCAAACAATGACAAACAAAACCAGAGGGTGAGACAGGAACGGGGAAACCAGGACACAGGCAGGTAACAAAAACCAGGAACATGGAAAACAGTGAAAACGCTCAGAAATGCAGTGTTACACGTACAAGACTTCGCAGGGAATGAATGTGAAAACCAGCCTCTTATAGGGTGAGTTAAACAAGGTAATGAGACACAGGTGGATGCAATCAGGGATCATGAGTCCAGGCAGAGAGTTATGGGAAATGTAGTTTCATGTAGGGAAATGTAGGCCATGACGGGATGAGACTCTGGAAGGGCGGCCATGACGGGACGAGACTCTGGAAGGGTGGCCATGACGGGATGAGACTCTGGAAGGGCGGCCATCACGGGACGAGACTCTGGTAGGGTGGCCATGACGGGACGAGACTCTAGAAGGTCGGCCATGACGGGACGAGACTCTGGAAGGTCGGCCATGACGGGACGAGACTCTGGAAGGGCGGCCATGACATGACATGACATGACGGGACGGGACGAGACTCTTGAAGACGCTCGTGAAGACGCTCAGGCTCGGCATGCATGCATGACGCTCCGCCAATTGCTCAAGCTCCGCAGTGGAAACGCTCAGAAATGCAGTGTTACACGTACAAGACTTTGCAGGGAATGAAGGTGAAAACCAGGCTCTTATAGGGTGATTTAAACAAGGTAATGAGACACAGGTGGATGCAATCATGGATGATGAGTCCAGGTAGAGAGTTATGGGAAATGTAGTTTCATTAAGGAATGACAATAGTCCGGGGTGGATGGGTATTGATGGGCACTCTCACTGGTAATCGTGACATTACCAGTGTGATAAAAGGGAATACTATAACTTTGAAGTTTATGAATCACCCCTTGTGGGTTTGAACTTGTGATGTGCAAATTATTACTGTACTGAACAACCACCAACACACCAAGCCTGTAGGCATGACTGAATGTCAATTAGAATACATTTCATTTGATGGTCTATCTGTGTATTTTTGTAGGGCTTGTAAAACCTTTAAACTTCAAGCTTTTAAAGTCACCATGCAATCAAAATGGACATTTCTATTTTACTGAATATTGCAGTATTTATTATGAATGATTTATCTGTGCACATCTTTTTTTTTTTTTTTGCAAACAACAACCATCCAGTGATCCAATCCATTCCTGATGGACAAAATCAAGTGGTGCCCTACATTTTTTCTTGTTCGAGAAGCCGTTTCACTTGGCTATACATCATAATAGGGAAGAAAAGACTTATCACAACTTCCGTTTCATGCCAGCCTTAAAGCTTGAAGCCCAACATCAAAGTTGGTATACTTGTTTGAATGGTAATTTTACCTTTATTACAACATTTATTACCTCATATTCTATTCTTGTGCTTTACATTGTAGTGACATTGTTGTTAGTGTGGAACAGTGGAAGTAATAATACTAAGTAGTAATACTTAATTATTTAATGGAGTGAACAAAGACTGATAAACCCAAAGACAAAGTACATTATTATTAAGTAAGTAAGTGATTTTTGAGACACTTGTAGACAATCAGCAATAGGGGGCGTGTCTTGATGGGGGAGGAGAGGGAGTTAGCAAGGGGGAGATTTGAAGAAAGACTATTGAAAGAGAGATGACTGAGAGACATTACAAAAGAGAAAAGGTCAAAGCATTGTACGAGCATTGTATGCTCGTGCATTTTGGGGGCGGAGCAATGAAGGGAGGGGTGTGTTTGTTGGGGTTGATTTCAAATAGAGTGGTGCAGGTATGACATCACTTTGTAGGCTAATCAGCAGTTAGCATCACACTTCCCTCGACAAAAACCCAATGGGATTTTTCCAAAGGCTTTGGTAGCCTATTATCGAGAAAAAAAGAAAAAGATAACAAAAGTAATCAACAGGGCTACCCGTTCGCTTTCGCATTCAATACAAGATACTCCGGTAACACTTTACAATAAGGTTCCATTAGTTAACATTAGTTAATGCATTAGTTAACATGAACTAACCATGAACAACATCTCTGTTCAGCATTAGTTAATATTTGTTAACGTTAACTCACACATATACTAATGCATCAATTCACATTAACAGCACAATTAGTTAACATTAGTTAATGCATTAGTTAACATGAACATGTTGCTATATAAAATAGGGCTGCCAACTCTCACGCATTCAGCATGAGACTCACGCAATTGACACTTTTCACACGCTCTCACGCCACACGTACATTTTCTCACGCAGAGAAAAATCACGAAGCAAAATTATTATTATTATTATATCAACGAAAGTTTATGATACTTACACGTTTTGTCCATCAAGATAATTATCACAGATGAACACAACTTTTATGAATTTTTAAGCCTAAATGCAGTCGCCAGAAGTAAAAAGCTAACGGTAGGCTATAAACGAACTACATCATGGTCCCACAACTTCAAAGTCACCATCATAAGCTTCCGACAACTCTTTCAGTTTTTATCTAAAAACATTTTCCCAGAAAGTTTGAGTTAGAATAGTTTATAAGAGCACAATTATAAGCATAATGAGGCCGTAAAAGCAGACTGATCTGATGACGTTTAATGTCCCAGACAGTCTCTGTAGTCCTATTTAGCCACTTGTCAGTAACTGTCTTTTTCAAATCAAAAAAAGTGGAGTGGGGTAATAATACTGATGTATTTTATGTCATAGAATAAAACTTGAAAGTGTCTTGAGCTTGTTTCGACACAGACTTCATTTAAGCCAAACAAAAAAAAAACAAAAAAAAAACATTGACTTTGGGACGATGGAATCAAAAGTGCTAAAATACTAACTCGTTTCTGCATTTTGGCCCCAAAAAAGTGATGTCATACCTGCACCACTCTATTCCAACAGTTCTCAGAAAACACTTACTGCACCTTTAAATTTACCAAAACAACCAGACTACCAAACTAGCTACTACAACATAAATAAAAACCAATCTGGGTTAACTTGCTTATTAAAATGCTTTAAGTTAAAAATATTACTTTATATGGAACTATAGACCTAAGTAGGCCTATAGTTAATCAGGTTACTATAGTCAATTTTGCATGGGAAAGTCTCAATTCTGTGTCTTAAATGCCTCCCTTCTTTCATAAATAGAAGCAGCTGCGCAGAGCTAAAACAGATAAAGATGCCTGACCAACTGCTTTAGCCTAAAAGCAATGATCAGCAGGAAGCAGATGAAGGCTACCAGCTAAAATGAGAGATTTTGGTGTACAGCACCCAGAAGTGAACAGACTGACCCGGAAGCTGTGCTGTCTGGAGGCGCATAGAGAACATCCAGCCTCTTCACTGCTTTATTAAAGCCTCTCCTGCGAGAAAAAAAACACTCTGACCGATCGATATAAAAGGTTTGTGCACTCATATCGTCTTTTTCCTTTTGCCCACACTGAGCAATCGTGCACATTACTGCATTGTATGAGAGATAAGTGTTCGACGGGAGCGATTTATCGCCTTTGATCTACCACAGGTTGCACAAAGCGGAATATAACATTATAAATGGCATTATCTAAATGCATTGTACATGCATGTACTTGTGTTTTAAATGTGCATTCGCTATAGCGCTGTTATAAAGCGATCGGGACGGCAGATGTTGTAAAAAATGACAGCCGCGCGCAGCGTTTCGCCAATTGTAAGACATTTTTTGCACGGTATGATTGTCGGAAGTGTCAGTTTTTTTCAAGGGGGCCGGGCAATTCAAAGGTGCTATTCTTCGTAAACAAACACACACACACACACACACTTATAACCACAAACATCTCGTTGATCGAGCGGTTCCTCCCTGAAAAAATTGACCGACTTGAGTGTGAATTTTTAGGCTCTGCAGAATATGGCGTCCTTATGAAAATATAACAGGCTGCCATTTTTCTTTTTTTTCTTTTGTCTGAAATGTTTTTGGTGAAATTGTGCAGGAATTAGTCCGAGGCTCTTGGTGATCCGTAGATACCGAGATAACCACGTTGTGCTGCTGTATGGGGAATCAAATCACAAAAGTTTTGTGACGGTTGTTTTCCTCTTAAGAGGCGTCAGGATTTTTTTTCTACTTTAGATACTGATCTGTTGAATTCTGTCACTTGTTTAAATAGTTTTGATTATGCTTTCAAACCTAATTTCAAATCTAAAATTCAGATGTTTGCCAGGATGTTTACTCATAAGTGTTGAACTCGAGTCAGATTATGAGTCACATGGCAATTACAATTCTTGACACTTCACTTATTGAGCTGATGATGACTCAAATCATTTGTTACCAAATAAAAATAAAAACACTGTTAACCATCAAGGTCAGAAATGGGTCAAAAATAACTGATATTTTAAATAGTTGTCGAATGTGTAGCAAATGTTGTTTTGTTTTACTTTATAGATACTTGTTTAGATTGAGTGTTTATTTAAGTTACGATTCTTGAGGGTTATTGACATTGCCCTTTAAGATTTTTTTTATTTACCGTACTATTAACAATAGTTTCTAACAAAATATCTGTTACTACAGTTATTGTTACTTGGCTATTAATCCACCACAGTCCTTAAAAAAAACTGATTAATGACAAGAAAGCTTCCCACGTTAGAAAATCCCAAATCAATTTATTTTGGTTTTACAGTAGTAACAACTCAAGTAATTACAGTGTGAATTTATGTACAGGAAACTTTTTGGAAAAGCATTAAAGGAAGAGTTAACACCAAAATAGAGCTTATGTCATCATTTACTCACCCTCATTCCGTTCCAAACCACTATGACTGACTTTCTTCTGTGGAACACAAAAGGCAGAATGACAGCCTCAGTCACCATTCACTTTCATTATAAGGAAAAAAATACACTACAAAATACAGATTTGAATGACCTGACAATGAGGACAGAATTGTTATTTTCATCAATTTGTGAACAACTAAAACAAGCATATCACATACAGTTGAAATAAATTCAATAAATCATCTGACTGAAAACAATAAAAACCTTAAGTAAAGACCTGAGGTTTTAGGTTAATTTAAAAAACAAAAAAATTACTTTATATTATAGATATTGCACTGGTATGTATTATTTTTAATTAAATTACTAAAAAGCAAAACTAAAATAAACGTGATTTATTTACATCTCATTAGTAAGAAATTGACTTAATTCCTAACTAGACTCAATTTTGTCTTACGGACACTGAGATTTAGTTGAGAAATACATTTAAAAATAAGAAAGACATGCAAGATTTGAATGACCTGACAATGAGGACAGAATTGTTATTTTCATCAATTTGTGAACAACTGAAACAAGCATATCACATACAGTTGAAATAAATTCAATAATTCATCTGACTGAAAACAATAAAGACCTGAGGTTTTAGGTTTATTTTTTGTAAAAAAACAACAACTTTATATTATAGATATTGCACTGGTATGTATTGTTTTTTAATTAAATGACTAAAAAGCAAAACTAAAATAAACGTGATTTATTTACATCTCATTAGTAAGAATTAATTCCTAACTAGACTCAATTTGTCTTACGAACACTGAGATTTAGTTGAGGAATATGTTTCTAAAAGCTTTTAGGCTGATGTGTGATTTTAACCTGTGATTTGACCCTCACTCTGTTTTATTAGAAGGATGGCAGAGCCTCGATTCAATAATCCATATTTCTGGCCACCACCTCCATCTATGCCTGGCCAAGTGAGTATTGTGTTTTTTAGTACAGCGTGGTTACTTGGACTGTTAGTCATACTGTACCTTTCATTACAGAGCGAAACTGTGGCATTTGAATGTAAGAAAACATGACAATAGGCATTTTTGCAAATCTGTACAACTCAATGTGGTTTGCCAAAACATGCAACGAAACCTAGATAAAAGTTTCCCCCCATGTTTTGTTCGGATGGTTTAGTGTCTCATGTCACTTGATGTCCCCTGTCAGACTTAACTGATGACTTTTTACAGCTGGATAACCTGGTTCTTATCGACAAGATCAAAGAGCAACTGATGGCAGAAAAGATTAGACCTTCGCATTTGCCGCCCACCACTGTTCCCTCTCAGCAGACCCTGCTGGTGGCCTCTCCACCTACAGATGTTGGGCAACATTTAATGTCTCTCCCCAAGCTGCAGCAGGTAGCGAGTCTTCAGGCCCACAATTCCTCTCAGCCTGACATCGCCCTGCACGCCCGCCCAGCATCAAGCACCATTGCAGGTACCGATCGCCCTTCCGTGCATTATCATGACAAAGTTCACGTTCACACTTCATCATTATGTATTGTACATTTTAGTATTGTGGATGTAGATATCTTTTATGTGGTTCAACAATGTGATGCATTTTTAAATCTACTGCAGGAATTAAGATTTTGTCGGAACCTCTAGTAAATGACATGTTTTTTGTTTAGTTGTCTATTCAGAATCATGGGAGAATCGTGATCTCTATAAACAAGATTGTGAATCAATTTATCCAGAATCGTGCAGCTTTACTATGTATTAATTTAAAAATGCATCAAAATGCAATTCACATACTGTATGTCATTATTTTTTACACCTCTTCTATGATGTGAATGTTTTAGTTTCTAAATTAAAAGACATTTTTATTTTTATCAGGGCCTCATTAAAATTATTTGTATTTAAAAAAAAAGAAAGAAAGAAAATCTTAAGTTGTGTGATGTAAAAATATATAATATATAATTAGTATATATTACTACTACTATTATTATTAAAGGATAATAATTTAACTAAACTGCTTCACTAATATTTCATTAATATTTAATAAAGTCATGTGGTCCAACCAATATGCAGAACAAAACATCATAGTCATTTAGTGAAACTCACCAAAATCATAATGACATTTTTGAATGAATAATAAAAAATAAAAATAAAAAAAATGGTTACACCACACAATAATTTTTATACTCTATACATGATATATTTATACTTCAAATAAATGTAACTTGTCAAAACCATGTGAAACCACCATCAATACAAAGTGTACATTTCTAAGAATTTGGCCAATGGACACTCTTGTATGTCATTGACCCTGTAGTGACATCCGTGCTATTTTCTTACATAATTTCAGAGCTGAATATTGATGACAAGTCTGCGGTGAAGGCAAAAGGATTATGGGAAGACTGGCATATGCGACAAGCAGTGGACCAAGCCTCCAGAGCAAACCATCGCTCAGGTGGTAGACACACAAGTCATTAAGTTTCCATTTGCCATAGTCAAGTTATTAACCTTCTTTTTGATTTTCAAAACCAGGTCTCATGCTGTCCTCGCGCATTGAAAGCCACAACACCTCTGAGGCTATAACTCCCACCACCCCGACATCTAGCAGTCAGAACCGTTTAGGCGGAGCACCTTCCTTAAACACCATTTCCGGCCTGGCCAGCGGTCCTGGCATGGAGCACATGAAAAGTGGAGGTCTGATAGGGATGCTGGGACCACAGCCCAAAGCTCCACGGGGCCGCAAGAAGATTAAAGCAGAGAACAACACGGGCCCCTTGCTGGTGTTGCCCTACCCGCTCCTGGCCTCAGGCCCTGACCAGGCGGTTACCATCGCCAAAGAAGGAAAAACATACAGGTCACTGTCAATAATAAATCATACCATTTACGACCTGTATCACATCTCATATTACGCATAAACTTTCATTTCAGTAATTAGTTATTTCATTTTTGCATTTCAAACAGGTGTAAAGTGTGTCCACTCACTTTCTTCAACAAGTCAGAGATGCAGATTCATTCCAAGTCCCACACGGAGGCCAAACCTCACAAGTGCCCTCACTGTTCAAAGTCCTTCGCCAACGCCTCATACCTAGCACAGCACTTACGGATTCACTTAGGCATTAAGCCCTACCACTGCTCCTATTGTGAGAACTCTTTCCGCCAGCTATCACACCTCCAACAGCACACCAGGTCCGCAAAACTCACAGCCTGTAGTGCACGTGCAACTGAAAACTATTAAAAAAAAACAGTTTAGAGTGTTAATATATCTCTCTTTGCTTTTAAGGATTCATACTGGTGACAGACCATATAAATGTGCCCAACCTGGATGCGAAAAGGCATTCACACAACTCTCAAACCTACAGGTGAGGACAGCTTAAAGATAAGGGCTGGATTAAAAGTACATTGTAGAAAATGTAAAGAGTAAATAATGTTTTAATATATATATAAAAAACAAAGAATAATATATATTTTTAATATAATTAAAATGTTATATATATATATATATATATATATATATATATAATTAAAATGTTATATATATTTTTTTTTCTTCAATATATTAAAAATAATATATTTTTAATATATTTAATAATTTTATAAAGGTAAGGTAATTTATTTACTAAGCACAATTAAAAACAACGGGTAGTTGACCGATGTCCTGTACAATTTGTAGAAACATGCAAAGCGCGAATGTACAGAACATTTATACAGTGTAATACATATATCGAACAACTCTCACAAAACAAACAAGCTACTAACATATCAGCAGTTAGAGTTAGACAGAAAAGCCAGAGAAAAAAGATGAGTTTTTAAAAGAGACCACTGGAGGCAGTTCTAATATGCAAAGGCAGACTATTCCAGAGTTTCGGAGCCAACACCGAAAAAGAACAATCACCCCAAAATTTACGTCTAGACCTTGGGACAGTTAAGAGTTTCTGGTCAGAAGACCCTAAGTGATCTTGATGGGGAATATATCTGCAACAAATCTGAGAGATAGGGTGGTGCCATACCATTTAGAGATTTAAAGGGATATATATATTTTTTTTAAAAGTGACAGGAATTACTTTTTTTTATTACTATATATATATATATTTCAAATAAATGCTGTTCTTTTGAAATTTGCATTCATCAAAGAATACTGAACAAAAATGTATCATAGTTTCCACAAAAATATTAAGCAGTACAACGGTTATCAAGATTGATGTTAATAAGAAATGTATCTTGAGCAGCAAATCAGCATTAGAATGATTTCTGAAGACTGCTTTTATTAATAATTCATCAATATTTATATTATTGCACTATTAATAAATACATATTTATACAATATTGTATTAATTAATACATACAATATTTCACATTGCTGTTTTGACCAAACTCAAATAAATCAAAATAAAATCGTATAATATGTAATTGTCGATACTTTATATTACCGTCTTAATACGTGTTAAATGTTTTTCCTTATTTCTTTTCCTGTTCAGTCTCACCAGAGACAACATAACAAAGACAAGCCATACAAATGTCCAAACTGCTACCGAGCCTACACAGACTCCGCCTCCTTACAGATCCACCTCTCCGCACATGCCATCAAGAACGCTAAATCGTACTGTTGCAGCATGTGTGGCCGCGCATACACCTCAGTGAGTACCGATCCTCCTCAACGTATGGGAAAATATCGCTCTTGTCATATTATAAAACCATCTTCTGTTTTTCAGGAAACCTACCTTATGAAGCACATGTCCAAACACACCGTGGTGGAGCATCTCGTCAGCCACCATTCCCCACAGAGAACAGAATCTCCCAACATCCCCATACGCATTTCACTAATTTGAGCTTCTCCCCTCACGTTTCTCTTCCATGAAAAGGTATTTTGTTCGCCGCGATGGTCTTCCGTTGAGAAAAAAGAAGAATGTGATAAGAGACCTCGGAGGACATTTGAGTCTGATATTGTCTTTGCCCCTTTTAGCTCTTAGTGATATTAAGCCTATAGGCCACAGACTCAACAAATGCTGTCTGAACTGAATTGAATTGTTCAATTCAACTACAGACACCAGTCAAAAAGGATTTGATTGATTATTCCAAAAACAGAATGTCACAGTTGTGATCACTTTTACATTTTGTTTCAAAGGTGTGTAAGGGAGACTTCCAAAGATACTCTTTAAGCACTTTTTCAGCCTCGTGGTTTCGCTCAAAGTAAAATGAATCTTTTTAGAATGGGACCAGCTTCTCGCTTTGGGCAGCTATGAGAGTTCAAGCTTAGTTTTAGAAAGTCGGAGGGATTTTGTTGGTTTCCGTCTCCACTTCTACTCCTTATCGTTTGTTTTAACAGGATATCGTGTTGTTTTACTGTGGATGTGACACTTCTTCCACTTTAAGCTTGTATTATCCTTTTATAAGGGGTATTAGGTCATGGTTGAGAAATGAAAAGTGATGTTTGAGTTCTGTATGCCGTGAGGTGGCAGAGTTGAGGTCCATTTTTTTGTGGATTTTATGAGCATGGTTATTGCCCCAGTATTTTTACACTGGCAAAAGAGACCCAAATAAGGAATTGTAAAAAAAAAAAAAAACTATTCCCCCAGACGATTCGTTTACATAAAAGAGGGTCAATAAGATATGACGCTCTCTAAAATAATGGCTTGTGTTGTTTGCATCATAGATGTTTTACTAGTTTCACTTTTTCAGACAAGGCCTTTTTTTGTGTGCAATGCAAATGCCATCCTTTCCAATCACAGTATTTTGAAGAAAAAGTGTCCTTTTTTTGTCATTTTTGAATTAAATGGCATAATTGCATCATGACAATGTCCATTAAATGGGTTTTTCTTGTGATGTAACAGAAGAAGTGTCACATGGGATCAGTGGTGTTAACTGAATTACACATTTAGGGTGTAACGTGACCTCTAAACTCCGTTAAGTGTTCATTCCCTCTATTCTTCCCGAGACAAGCGATACAAAAGCACCTTGAGACGTTAACTTACACCGATGGATAGCTGAAAGTTTTCATTCGTTTTTTTAGATGATATAATCTAATTGCAGTGACCTATTTTGAAATGTTTTTATTGGTCAAATTGGACGTTTGTACACCAAAAACATCAGTAATGCTGTTTAAAGAAAATATAGAAGTCAAAAATCTCATTTTGAATGTAGTCATGTAACAAAAACGCACTGGTGGAAATGAACACAAGTTCATCCAAAAGAAATAACTGTAAATCCGGTATGTTTATCTATTTTTTTTGTTTGTTTGTTGCTTTGACAAGCAAAATCAGCAAACAAGCTGATAAAACACGTTTTTAACAGAGTGGGCAGCAGTCTAAAATGTTACTTACTGGGTTAAAGCACACTTGGTCTATTGAATTATTCAAGCCAAATTTGATCATATGTGATCATACTTGCCGTATGTGATGTATGCTATGTCAACAGGCCACAACACTGCAGCTCTACAACATTCATTTACTTTTGTGGTCATTCATACCAGTCATTTGTTAAGCTTATTGTGTTCAATTCATGTATGTTTAGTTTTTTGTTTTTTTTCTGTTTGCAAAGGACCAAGTTGTTGCTCTCAAATGCTCTAAATTCCCCCAAATATATATAATATTGATTTATATATACAGTATGTGTGATTTATTACACAGTAATGGCTTACTGGGTCAAACCGGATTTTTGTTCTTTAATATTTGGGAATGTGAACAATACCGCCATTTTAGATAACAGCAACTTGATGAGGATCTACTTCTTGGTGCTTTCTACAAAACCTCAGCTCATTGCCAGGAATCGGTTATTACATTACAGTATAGTCCTGGCTCTTTCAGCCTCAAATCCACTTTAAATCAGTAAGACGTGTACATTTACTATAAAATATACCCTGTATTATTCATTAATAGTGCAAATTGCAAGGTTTAGATACTGTACTTTGTTCATTTTTGTATCTGTTTAGTATATTTCAACTTATTAATATTTGTTTTTCTGTAAGTACTGATCATTGTTTTTATAGGTATCCTTGTCATTTTTACATGTACGCCTTAATTTTATCATCGTTGAAAGACCGGTTTCTTTCTCTTTCTTCCTCCATGTCGATGTTTTTCCGTTTTTTTCTTAAGCCTTTTTTCCGCATGGAACACCGTAATCGTTATTAATTAACTGTTAACATGTATTATGTAAGACATTGTTACACATGTTCTGAAATAATTCACGTTTTCCTTTGTCTTGCATTGTGGTTCCATATAATGATTTTGTTTAATATGCACCGACATGACTGATAGGTGAATTAAGAAAATATCAATGTCAAGAACACTTTGTATCTCTATCTTGTTTATTAAATTCAGACTGTTACACCTGAGCCTTTGTATTTTTTTTAAACACACATTGGAATCAAAAAATCAGTTGTGATCCTGTTTAGGATTTTAGATTGAACCTTGATTCCCTTTTGTCTTTAGATCTAAGCCCTTACTTTGATGGCAATAACATAAGATTTTCAGGGACTCTTGAGTGTAAAATACAGAGAAAGAGAAAACACCATGACACGGATTTCTGGATTTTGTCTTTTGAAGGATGGCATGACTCATTTAATGAAGTTATATAAAGGTAAAAGTATATAATATAAAAGAATTGGAAAATGTGGCAACACTTGTATACCAGTTTGTATTTACTGTCATTACACACCTATTTTGTGATAACATACCTACATAAACATTTATCACGCTCAGTGTTGGGTAAAGTTACTTTTAAAAGTAATGCACTACAATACTGAGCTCATCCCCAAAAAAGTAACTAATTGCATTACTACTTTACTTTTTCTCACCTGGGCTGGGCCTAACTAACCCAAAAATACAAAAGTTCTCTTTTTGGCAAATGTAAAGGCCTTTTCACAGCGAAAGTGAAATGAATAAGCCTCAGGCTGAAGGAAATGCAAATTCACTTGTAATGTGTTACCCCCCAACACTGATCATGTTGCCAATAATTTGTTCATGAACAACAGCTATTGGTGTGTTGCTTTGAGAACAATAAGTTCAGTAAAACACTGTTGTTTGCTGAGAGTAGTTTTGAATGTTTTCTGAGTATGAAGTAATAATTTTATCTCAGATTGACATAACCAATCGAACGGGCATCATGAAAATAAGTTTATTAAGAAAATACATGCTTTGTCAGTGTGTACCATGTACACTGATGTCTTTCGCAATTCAATGACAGGAGCCCTATATGAATATTTTGTGAAAGTTGCATCCTAATATATAGCAGCAGGACACAATGTGTGATGCTCTCATAATGTCCAGGCACAACTGCAGGATCTTGATCCTTTTGCCACAGCTCAAAGTGATACAATTTCTCATCTGTCAGATGATTTTGCTTCCAGATCACAGGTCATTTCAGTCTCTGAGGACTATATACAAAACACAAAGGGAGTGCAAAATAAAAGAATATTTAAAAACTCCAATTCCATTAGTAAACAACAATACCGTAAGGTTCCTAATGCTACCAGGTCTGTTTTCTTGTCAGTAGCCAAATCCTTTTGTCAGAGGGACATAACACCAGCAGACCAGCAGAAGTTAACTCACAACCGCACTGCTTATATTAGTACTTAAAGCATATACTCTACACATAAGGTCGAAATAAATATTTTGCCATTTCATGGCTGTAGTTTTTGCCCTCTAACTGAAAAAAAAAATTGTGGACATGTAAAAGTAACAACACATAGATGATCAACTATCAATATAGATAAAGTCTTTACACTATGAACTGAACACAGATACACTACCATTCAAAATATTGGGGTAAGTATGATTTTTTTTATGTTTCTGAAAAAAAGTCTCTTTTATCTCTCTCTAAGGCTGCTTTTATTTGATCTAAAAACAGTAATATGGTGAACTACTGTATAGAAAATAATTGTTTTTTATTGTAAATATATTTTTAAATGCAATTTATTCCTGCGATGGCAAGCTGAATTTTCAGCATCATTACTCCAGTCTTCAGTGTCACATGATCCTTCAGAAATCATTCTAATATGCTGATTTGGTGGAAACATTAAGCAGCACAACTTTCAACACTGATAATACGTTTTTTTTTGTATTTTTTTGTATGTGAAAACCGTGACATGTTTTCATCAGGGTTCTTTGATTAATAGAAACCATTTATTTGAAATGGAAATATTTTGTAACAATGTAAAAGTCTACTTTCTTTTTTGATAAATGTAATGCATCCTTGCTGAATAAAAGTATCCATGTCTTTCAAATAATAGTGATAAAAAGGATCTTACTGACCCTAACACTTTAAAATGGTAGTGTATAAGCTTTCAGCTATAAAGGAGTGTAGTACTCAGCTCAATGTAACATTTTACCAGGTTTTCACCTAAAATCAGCACAGAATATGAAAAAAGGTCTGCTGACACATGCAAACACTTGATTTCAACTTGATCTCAAATACTTACTGCTTATCCAAAGGCAATAGTGTATTTCAGTTGTAAAGACCCGCAGATGGTAACATAATAGTTAATAGTGCTTTAAGTGCTTTTCCACAGTTGTACCATTATAGGGTAAATGTATAAAAAAATACATATGGCACCTTACAGATGTGACAAGGCTATTGACAATAGTATCCAATGAAGTATCATGTTTGTGAATGATATAAAATCTCATGCATTCTAATCTGACTCTATGTGAGCCACAAAGGCAATGCAACTGAATTCAACGCAGGTGAAATGAGCCAGAGCAATAATACATCTTTAAACATGACACAGTCATGGTGCCACAGAAACTATTTCTTGAGCAAGTTGTCTATGTTTTACCCATCTAAACAACGTTTTACCCTTCTACAGTCGCTTATTTTTAAACCTTGACTGATCCAGTGACTTTTCAGATTGGCAAACTCTGTAATGGCATTTCACAGTCTTTGTAACTCCCTCAGGCCTCATCGCTTGTGGCACTGAGACTCTCCTCCTGCTCTAACCTGCTGTTGGGAGCCACAGGTGAGGTCAGGTTCAGGTAGCCTATCTCAGTGGACTGTGAAACGGGCACAGACGAGGAGATCTCTAGGCTCTTCACTCCAGACTCACCCACTTTGACTTTGCGAATGGCATCCAATATTCCCCATGAGTCACAGAGCCCAGGCTGTGGACTAGAGCAAGATGTTGCAATGTAAGACGTCACCATTTGGTCACTGACACAGTAAAATAATCCCATACTGATCTGCAGCCTCAGCGGAAAAATAAATCTAAATGGCAGATGAGACAAGATACATACTACCTTTATAAGATTGTTTTTTTTATAAAAGAAGTCTCTTAAGCTCACCAAGGCTGCATTTATTTGATCAGAAATACAGTAAAACAGTAATATTGTGAAATAGTATTACAATTTAAACAATTTAAAAAAAAATTCTATGTTAATATATTTAAAATGTAATTTATTCCTGTGATGGCAAAGCTGAATTTTCAGCATCATTACTCTAGTCTTTATTGTCACATGATCCTTCAGAAATCATTCTAATATGCTGATTTGGTCGAAACATTTCTTATTATTAATGTTGAAAAAAAGTTGTGCTGCTTAATATTTCTGTGGAAACAGTGATGACATTTTTTATCAGGATTCTTTGATGAATATAAAGTGCAAAAAACGATATATATATTTTTTTTTTAAAAGTATTTATTTGAAAAATATTTTATTTTAACAATGTAAAAGTCTACTGTCACACTTTTTACTGACTATTTAATGCATCTCTCCGGAATAAAATTATTTATTTATTTATTTATTTTAAAAAAAGAAATTAACCGCATACATAAAAATGGAAGTGTATATTGGATACTAACCTTTAAATTAGTTACAGAAAAATATTGATAAAAATAGATTTAGAGGTATTGAAATAGATTATATTACACCGTATTTTGTGTCCCATGTATTTTTTTATTTGACTATATATGAGAACAGAAATATTGAGTAGGTTGGAAGACTAAAAAAGTTCTGAATTATACCTTGGCGTTGATGTCCGCAACAGGCTATCATGATGAGCTCCAGAAGGAAACATTTTCTTGACCTCCTAAGACAAAAACACAAAATAAAAGCATCAGTGCAATCCAAATTTGAAATGCTTATTTAATTTATAATAAAAAGAACAATTGCTAAATAAATGTGTACCTCAACTGTACACATCGACTGAAGGTTTCTCAATGCACGATCTAAAATTCCTATCTGATTGGCCAATGTTAGAGTTTTTTCTTGCAGCTCTTTATTCTCCATCTCCAGAAATTTAACTCTAAGAGAAGACAGGGCAAAGAGACAGTTAGTACGTTTCTGTGCTTTCCTGTCAGATGTAGATGTACAGGGTAATGAGACATAGATGTACAGGGTAATGAGATGTTTACCTCTGCTGGATGGTAGTGGCAGTTCTCAGTCCATTGTTTCCCATCTCCTCAGCTTCACTTATTCGCTGCAGAAGTTCTCGTCTCTCCAGGAGGAGCTGGTCGTTTTCTTCTGTCATAGTCCTAATCCAGTCCTTCTCCTGCTCATAGTGGAACACACTCAAGGTGAAGTACATGTTAAGTATATAGTGTTGAAGGTCGGGTCTGAAAACACTCACTTTCTCTGAGAGACTTGTCGCAAGAGCCAGATCATTTTCCAGCTGCTGGATCCTGTGCTCATGTTGGGCGACTGTCTTCATGAAGATCTGTTTAGCTCTGCGCAACTTGGTTTTGTGCTGAGACTGTTTCTCGTTGTGTCTCCTGCAGGACACGAGTTTCATGATTTCATATTAACACATTCCATGTAATATATGTTATAATATTGGCTCAAAATATCAAACCTGTTTGATATCCTCCGACTGGATGGAATCAAAGTCTGAAGCATAAGAAAACCTGTCCATCCTACACTACACGATTTTCACAAGTTTACATTAACATAATAACCAGATATAATGCATATTTGGCGTGCTGTCCGAGAAGGGGGCTCCAAGCTCGGAATTTGGCCCGAACACAGATTACTCCCCCCGTATCCCTGGCTGGGATGGAGGAGGGATGCTGGAAAACTGTCATGGGACAGAGGTAAGTTGGCTATATAGGCCTCCTCTCGTGCTGATTGGGTAAATTATCTGAACGTGCTTCCTCCTGAACTTTGTTAATGATATATCTATGAATTCTGTGAACTCCAACTGCCTAAAATCTTTTGGCAACTAGCATAGACTCATCCAGACTGCAAACCAGGGCAAAAATTGAGCAAAAGTCTTGTATTCCAGCCTTAAGAGTATAATGTCTACCCAGTGAATAATGATACCTAATGTGAGTGTCAAGCTGCTGAACAACCAGCTTCAGTTCCTCCTGCAGTCTCTCAGACTCATGTTGGGAAGACAGAAGCTGTTCTTCCAGCCTGTGGCAGCTCTTCTGACCGCCTCTCTGCTGCAGGACACATTGGTATTTCATGGTCAGCAGCTCCACTTGTGTATCATTTCAGCAATTAGTGTGATAGTTTCAACTCACAAACCTCTTCTCTAGCTGTGTTAAGTTCGCTCTCCAGCACTTGCAGCCGCGTCTCCAGCTCCTGCGTGCGGTGTGACATCTCCAAGTTGTTGCGTGTCATAGTCGCCTCCTTCGCCCGCAATGAGCGCACCTGCTGCTGGAGTTCCTCGTCTTTCTGCTCAAGTAATTTCCTTTCAGAAAACACAGAAAGTCATTATAAAGTCCACTATACAGTAAGTAACATGCAACAATTGCTGCAATGGTCACACTTTATATTAAGTGACTTACCATGCACTTACATAAAAAAAATTATTAGGTACAATATACTTATTGTTAGGGCTGGGCGATATGGGCAAACAAAATTATCATGATCATTTTTTTCATATCAGTCGATATTGATAATTATTATGATAAATGTCAAATATTTATTTCTTTAGTTTAAAGGCAGATTTTTGCTCCTAAGTGAAAGTTGTAGAAACCATTAAGACCGTTAATTGTGGTTTTAAGCTACTCTTTATTGTCAGAACATGACAAACATTTGGCAGTAGCTTGAAAAAATAGTAGCATCTGTAAAAACTGTAACACCCTTATTTTTATATGCTAAAATTAAAATATTTTGACTGTTTGAGTTTTATTAAAATGAACCATTGGTCTTCCATAGTAGAATACATTTAGATCATGATAACCATAGTAAAAACCACACATATAGCATCTCACTACCATGGTAAAATTGTTTCTATGGTATTTGTATTAAAAACTGTAACCTAAATACATTTAGCATTTAGCAAATGCAAATTCCATAGCTTAATCACAAAAAATACAGTAAGTATATTCCATTAATACCTTTAATACATGTCTACATTAACAATATAGTAAAATTCCATATAAATATCCCACATTTCTGCCACAATACCATGGTGCAGTTAGTGTTACTACAGTAAATCCATGGTAAATGATGGGGATTTGCCTTCTGACTATCGTTGCACACAGTGTTTCTCCTGTTTGTCAGTGCTGTTTCATCTGGCTTTAAACAGGTTAAAGGGGTTCTATTACGCTTTTTCACTTTTTCAACTACAGTCAGTGTTTAATGTTGCTGTTTGAGCAGGCTACGAATGCACACTTCAGAAGATTTGCCAAAGGTTGCGAGGTTCGTGGAGTTACATTTTTTCTATACATTCAAAAACATGTTTAAATGATAATGATGCATAATTTCTGAATGGCAACGGTATAAAAGAATGTTACAGCGTTTGCATTTCTATTACTAATACTAGAAAGGCCAACGCTATAATACTTTATAATTATACAATATATTATATTTGCTTTTTTACTTTCTTCTGCATCTGCGCTCAGGCATTGCAATCTGAAAAATAAAAGTGATATATTTATCGGTCGACCACTAATATTGGCTTGTGGTGCAGTGACCCGTCTGACCTCTGTAGTTGATCCTCTTGCAGTCGGGCTCTGAGAGCAGACAGGTTATCGGACATGTCTCTGGTGTCTCTTTCTAGTTTGCTGGTCTCTCCTGCTCTGGCCTCTTCCAGGCGTATCTGGTGCAGAGCGTTCTTCAGTTGCTGCTGCAGATCTACGACCTGCAGAGATGTTGAAGACATTCTTCATAACTGTTATACTACTGAACAAGAGAATTTCAGCCTGCTCTGAACACACACCTTCTTGTCAGCAGCAATCACACGTGCCCTCTCTGAATTGAGCTCCTCCATCAAGCTTCTGTTAGTCTGTCGGTTCTGAGCGCTTCTGGCCATGTCCAGCTCCAGATCTCTGGCTCTCTGCTGGAGTCTCTCCAGCTCTGCCACCTGTCCTGCTGCGCTGCCCTCCTGCTGGGCTACTTTGGCCTGGGCCTGCTTCAGCTCCGCACACAGCTAAAGAACAGAGCAGAAACATAAGGTTTCTGAGCATTAACAATAGTCCTGTGTAAATCTAACTAGGGATAGCCCATGTTCAATATAATTTAAAAACTAAAAATTATGCCTACTTTCTAAAAAAATTTCAATAACATTCTAAAGTATGAGGAAATGGATCAAAAGTGACAGTAAAGATGTTTATAATAATACATATAGATTTTCTATTTCAAATAAATGCTGTTATTTTGAACTTTCTATTCCTCAAAGAATGCTTAAAAATGTATTATGGTTTCCACAAAAATATTAAGCAGCACAACTGTTTTCAATATTGATAATAAGAAATGTTTCTTGAGCAGCAAATCAGCATAAGAATGAGGAAGACTGGAGTTAAAATTCAATTTAAAAGTTATTTTAAGCATAACACTGTGTCCTAACAAGACGCGATGTGATAAGATTCCACGACAAATCATTTGTCTGTCCACACTAGACGTGACGCGTCGCGACTGCGACTGATAGAAACCGTTTCTAAAATAGAATCGTTGCGTGTCGCCGTTGCGGCTGGTTAGGACAAAAACTCTGATTAACATGGAAAAGATACCTTTTATCGTGCGTCGAGAGTAGTTAGGACACGGTGTAAGAGACTTCTTTCAAAAACATTTTTTTTTTAATTTACTGACCCCCAAAAAGTACACTTATGCCACACTTGATGCATTTTATGCATTATGTAAATAAATATCAAAGTAAATGTCATCTACTATATTTATTTAAAACAAATGTCACTTGGTTCATATGTTGTTATCTATTCTAATGCAATAACATTCATTTCAAATGTAACTTAAGAGACTTTTTTTTTTTCTTTTTTTTTTTTTTTTTTACCTTGATCTTTTCCTGATCTAGGAGTGCATTGTGTCTCTTAAGGTCTAGATTTTTCTCTCTCTCATAGCGTAGCTCTCGCTCAGCAGAGGTGAAGAGATGCTGAGTTCTCTGCAGGTCCTGTCTCAGCTGTTTGTTCTCCTCTCCCTTCTGTTTTAGGAGTGAGTCCTGAGCCTGTGCACAACCACATAATGGCCACATAGCAAACAGGGAAATATACATTTAAAAAAATACAATTAAGCAGATTATACAAATTTTTTGTGCATAAATGAAATTAAAAATGAATGTGAATATGTTTGTGTGGGTGTGTAAAGATTGGAGAGCAGGGCTGACCTTAGCCCGGGCCTGAGCTTCACTGATCTGGGCCTGCAGGGCCAGCTGGTGTTGGCCAGCCAGCTGTCTCTCCTCCTCCAGGGTGGAGTGTAGCTTACTCATCTCTGACTTCACACAGGCCAGCTAGAGAAGCAGCACATAAAACCAAGCAGTTTACACATTACAACTTCAGCTAAGAGTTCAAAAACTCCATGTACACTGCCATACAAAAGTTTGGGGTATACTTCTAGTTTGCATGATTCTATTCAGGATGAATGTATTAAATTGTTTAAAAGTGACATTCTCAATGAGATTCATGCATTAAATTGATCGAAAGTGACAATTTATTTACACTTATAATGTTTCAAAACACTTCTATTTCAAATAAATGCTACTCTATTGAACTTTCTATTCATTAAAAAATCCTGAAAAAATCTATCATGGTTTCCACAAAAATATTAAGCAGCACAACTGTTTTCCACACTGAGAATGAATAAAAATATTTATTTTGCAATATATCATCATATTAGAATGATGTCAGCGCCGAAACAATCGCGGCACTGCAGCACCGCCTCGGTGTGCAGTGCGAATGCTCTAATCTGTTAATATGGGCCCTGAAAAAAATATGCGCTGCTTACGCATCCAGTGTGAAACAGGCCTTACCTGACAAACCCCCTCATCCTGTGCAGAAGGCTTGTGGTTGGCCATCTGCTCCTGTGATGCTCTGGGTGTCTGCTCTCTGGTATACTGGAGCTGCTGTCTCACATGCAGGACCTCCAGACTGAGTCTCTCTTTCTCCCCGTCAGTCTGAAGCCTCTCGTGGGCTTTCTCGCTGAGCTCTCTCTGTAGCTGCATCACCTGCCCACGCTTCTCCATCAGCTCATCCCTATACAGGCAAAGTGCCTCTTACCACATGCTTTCTACTGAGTCCAGGAGCTAATTATTTATCCTTTTAATGTCATACAGAGTTGATCTGTTGTATCTGTGTCAGACTGCCTTACCTTAGAGTGTTGTGCTCCTTCTCTAGTCGAGTCAGTTCTGTTCTCAGTTTGTCCACCATGGACTTAAGCTCTACCACCTGTCCCCTGCTGTCTCTCAGGTCCTCTTCAGCCCGGCTGTTCTCTGTCTGAAGTGTCAGGTTGTCCTGGAGCCGCGTCTGAGCACGCTCCAACTGGGCCACCTGCAGAGTACAAACATAGCCTCAGTGAGTATTTGCAAGCTACAGGAAGAACATCACAGCATCCCAACAATAAATGGAATGCTTTCTTTGTGATTTAAACGTATGAATGACCTTCAATTTATTACCTTTTCTTCCAAAATTCCCTTTTCTCCTTTAATCTGCGTGAGGTTCTTGTTGAGTGTCTTCCCTTGTCGACATTCTACCTCTAGACTCTGGACCTCCACACGTAATCTCTTCAGCTCCTCATGGTCTTTTTGCATGACCTGTCCACATGTTGCATTTATGTGTAGTTCATGGTTTCAGATAACATTATTATCATTATTCTAAACAAATGCATAGTGCAATATGAAAAATGGACTTTTCAGGACTCTAAACTGTGCATTTTATAACGAGTCATGTGTGACAATGATATTACCTCTTTCTCCTTTTTGAGCGCAGCCTTGGCTACAGATAGATCCACCTCCAACTGCTTCCTCCAACCTTTTTCTTCAGCAAGACGACCCTCGAGGAACTTCAGTCTTTCTTGAATGCTCTCACTAAGCTTTGGATTAAAAGATGAAAGATATTCCACCACAGAATCAGAGGGTGCAAGTGATTTTTATGAGGTTGCTATTCTCCTTGGTGTAAACAGGCCTTCGACCTTTTACCTCAGAGTCAGTTCCTCGAACCAGATCTTCATCTTTCTTCTCAAGTTTCTTGATATCCCTCTTACTCAGTTCTTCCTCAATACTTTTAATCTAGAACCAAACTCAGAGTCATTCTCAAAATTCAGGTGATTATTTATCAAATTCAGCCCCATAACATCACGACTAAAAACGTACCTTTCTCTGTAACCCCTCTATCTCACACTCATGATGCTCTCGCTCGTCTTTCGCTGCGTTCTGCGCTTCCCCCAACAGTGCCTCCAGCTCCTCGTTCCGCTCCACCAACTCCTCGTGTTCCCGCTGCTGCTTCTGCAACCTCCTCTCCAGCTCTCGCAGGCGGCTGTCCTTATCTTCAGACTCTCTCCGACACCTGCCAAAATACAACTGCCATATCAGCATCTTTAAAGTGTGGAAGCAATGACATGTACAACTTTAAGTTAGATAAAGGAGGGCAAAGCTTCACCTTTTGTGGAGTGTCTCATCGTCTGGAGCCACCGATGAATCCGCATTAACATTATTCCCAACACCCTGACAAAAAAGCATCTGTAAGCTCTGAGAGGAAACTACAAATATTAAATAACTTGTGTCATGCAATACATGCAAACTAGCGCCTTCAAGAGAGGATTGTAGTAGAATGTATATCTACCTGTGCAGAGTATATTTTATTGTGCTCTAATGTCTCGCTGATCCCTTGAACCGAGTGCAGCTTTGATTGTTCAACCTGTGGCACAACCGACATAGCAAAATATAACATTTCTGTGTTTGCATATTGCAAATATCTAACATGTCATGGCACCAAGATAAAAAATTTAAAATAATTATTCTTGCCAGTTTAAGAAGAGTCCTCCTCTCTGTGTCCAATGAGCGAACTCTATCCCTCAGCGCACAAATCTCCCCATCCAGTCGTTCATTGCGTTCCTTGGCCTTATGCAGCTCCACCATATCTGTCAAACATAGAGTTTACAACCAGAAGACATCATTTGTAATGTTTCCATGATTTGTTATATCTTACTTTTCAGTACTTTGGTCGACGCCGTAGTTCTTTGAAGTGACTATAATTAAGCTAGCAAATGTTTATGATGCGAAATGTTGCTGCAGACAAAATCTCACCACACTGTTTAAGCTTGTCCACTTCCTGTTTTAACAGTTCCACTTCTTCCCCAGTTTTCTGCAGGTCAGGTACTGAAACGAAAATTTTGTTTACATTATGCATTAAGACAAAACAGTTATCTAAAACTAGATATTTTTTCTAAAGACCACATGAGTGATGCTTGGTCATGGAAAAGTCACCACCACCATTACCAGGTAGTTCAGGGTGATTTTGTTTGTTTTATCATTCGACAGGGGAAAATAGTCAGTTTAGTTGCATATAACAAATAAGCAAGGATGCACAAAAAATTATCAGTTGATATTAAAGTGATCATCAGTTAATCAGTCAATCAGAATCAGTTTGGATATTTAATTTTCCGTACTCAATTCCTCTGTTTTTCTTGGGGGTTTTTTACATTTAAATTACATTTACCATCATCTGACTAGTGCCGTTAATTGAATTAAAATATAATAATTAGAAGAAAAACTAAAAGTTAAATGAAAATGAGGCATTTTCCAAAGGCAACTCACTAAAATTACTAAAACTGAAATGAATATAAATTAAATCTAAATAATAATAAAAAAATATTAGCTATAATAAAATTACTAAAATTAATTAAAGAAAATTAAAAAAGAAAAACTGAAAATTTTTAAATAAAACTGAATTCAAAATGTTTTTATATTAATAGTATATAATTAATACTAAAATAACACTGCATCTAATGCTCAGTCTTTCAAAACACTGAAAATTTAACAACACCATTAAATGTAATCTTTAGAAAATCTCAAAATAATTTCCATTTTGCCTACTGTCCAACCCTACTGTCCAACCCTGCTTAAATTCACTTGTAGCATTAAAAATGATTGATTTTATTTTTCATTTATGCATGTACATTTATTTTAATATTACCATAATTTGAAAATAATTATCAGCTTATTGATATCAAATCTGAATTGTTATTCACATACCAGACAAGTTTTGGACCTTACGAGCGATATCTAGTTCATCTGTCAGGTGGCGAATCTCTTCATGTGCCATAGCAAGACGACTCGATGCCTCTTCCAGATCCCTCTCCAGCTTCTGCCGCTCTGTGCGTTCTTTGCCGAGTTCTTCACTGTGGGCCTACAGGGGACAGAGCTTCATAAACATAAACCTGGCTGCACTGGGTGGACAAGCAATAAGCATGTCGGCCTCCATGCGTTTTTAACATGCATGAGCCACAGAACACAGGTGAAGCTCAATGTGGATCATGTTCCAGTGTGAACAGAGTTTAATATGTGCCTTCTCTCCCTTATAACCATCAGAGACCACAGTAACGTTGGGACAAACAGCCTTCGGTTAGTAACCACCCTGAAAGAAAGCGCTCCATAGTGCTGTTAGGGTCTAGAGTGAAAATAAGAAGTGTTAATATTATCATGCTAGGCTCAGCATGTTGTTATTCTCTGCTTCGAGTTCAACCAAGGCATGCATTATTTCATGGAGCTGCCTTAATCTGCTTTAAGTGGATCATCCTCTCAAGGACAATACGGAAGGTTCCACCTCTCCTGATTTAACCTTCATGTGATGCCTTTTTTATGAGTCCAATCAAGTTATGAAAGGTACGGGAACGTACAGGAAGGTTCTGTGCTCTTAGTGTCGCCTTGCGCACACCAAAGAACTTCCTCCAAGGACTTTGAACTGATGATTCCTGTCCATTTAGGGAGGGACAAAGAATCAGGAGAAATTATGATGCACAACATACAGAGAGATGGACAATGAAACACTTAAATATAAATGAGACACTGTTGATATGGGACATTCTTTGAGTCCATGACTTCAGCACACTGCTTATGAAATTGCTGCCTGCTTATGGGACACTCTGAGATCGTCTCACCTCATTCATATTTTCCTTTTGCTGTCTAAGTTCCTCTTCCAATGCGTGACGGATATGATCCAGCTCCTCCTGATTTCCATAAAAGAGGAGATATTAAAATGACCATAAAACTAATAAGCCACAAATGAGGTGTTACTATCAAGAGAAGACTCCACATTTTTTAACACACACAGTTTATTGCCATTATTACCGCATAAATATTTACATTTTATGCATTCTTTCATCCAAAGTTCATTCAAGTTATACATTTTATGTTGATATGTGCTCTTCAAGTCTTTTCGGTATCCTAAATACACACAATTAAATAATATTTAAATATGAAATGCAATTAAATATAGCCTTTGCATAATGCTCTACCTGTTGACCTACACTTTTAAGAACACTATTACAGAAGTTAGGCTTTATTTCTCATTGTACCTGTAGATGCACCTCTCTGAGGTTGCCGGTGAGGGTCTGGGTGTCCAGCTTTCTTTCAGCAGCCTCTAGTCTCTCCAGCAGAGTGACTCTCTCCACCAGCAGATAGGCCACTTGCTCACTCGCACTGCTCTGGCTGATGTCCGCTAGACCCTCCTGCTCCAGCATCTCCACCACCTCCTTACACTGGGAGTCTGACAAACACGACGTACGTAAGGACCACTGACTGGACTATAAGTGGCTTCAAGTTGAGCACTGAGCAGAACGCAAGAGCTATGTTGCGAATGGAATACTAGCATACTATAGTGCTATATGCACTAAATATAGCAAGAAACACATTATTTTGCATTTGAAATCAAATTCTATGTAAATAAAAGAGAAAAAGTGTTGTTACCGTTTATTAAAAATTAAAACTTAATCATTTTTGTAACTAAAATAAAATATAATAAACTATAAATATTAGATTTTAAAAAAATTCTAAACTTTAATGAAAATTAAAAATGTTGCTCTGGCATTTAAATAAATAAAATAAGTGTAACTTGAAAATGCTAAAATTACTAAAACTAACTCTGAAATAAGAATAAATTAAAGCTAAATGGAAATATTATACTAATAAAATGACAAAAGCACATAAAATGACTAAACTAAAATGAAAATATAATAATATAATAGCTAATATTAAAATAAAATGATAAAATGTGTATTAATATAAAATAGTATCATTATCAAAATATTAATAAATACTATAATAATATATAAATTATTCTAAGAGTACATTTACACAACAACATACTAAAAACGGAAACGTTTTTTGCGTAAAGACGACAACGTTGTCAAAAGATCCCTGTTCACACGGATTCGCGAAAACGACTAAAAATGCTGTTTTATGCCAGTAGGTGGCGATGTCACTTTGTAGCATAACTTTGGGATACAGGATTCTACACAGTATGCTCTATTATATACTGCACATTTGATAAATGTAGAGACTACAAAAAAACTATTCTAAGGATACAGTAAAGTATAATGCAGAAATGAGTATGAGTGGTAGTATGGACAAAACTTCGAGGCACATTGTTTACTACGAACACAATCTTAAGTATGATCAAATGATTTAATCAATATAAAACCCTCACCCTGTTGGTGTTTCATTAGAGCAAGTTCAGCACGGAGCTGTTCGTTGTCACGTTCGTACTCCGCTGTAAGAGACTCCCGCTCCTCCAGCATGTTTCGAATATGCTCCACGTAATTTTCCACCTTGAAAAAAACCCATCAAACAACCAGTCGACACAGCAAAGGCATTAGCTACAGAAGGAGCTTGTTTTGGTCAGGAAACAGTGTCGTCATGTTACAATGTTGATGAGGGAGACCATGATTAGCTATTCTTTGGGGTGGAGGCCCGGCCTGCCATCTGCTGGCTCACCTCTCTCATCTCGCTGGCCTGCTGTGTGCGCAAACTCTGCAGGTCTTCAGTGGCGGCAGTCAGGCTGCCCTCACTGCTCTGGAGCAAATGCCACAGGTGCCGCTCACGCTCGTCTGTTGAAGCCTCAGGGGACACACCGTCCCTGTGCAAGCGCAGGCTGATCTCGTCCAGCTCCTTTTCCTTTCCCATTGTTTTGAGGAAACAAAACAATGAGCCCTCTTTTTTTTTTTCATTGAACAGTGTAAATGAGGCCTGGGTTACCCGACACCGTCTTAAAACACTCTGTCACCCTGTCAAGAGTGTGTCTAATTATTTTGGTGTGAAGGCTGTCTCAGGAGGTGCCTAATATCTCTCTATACTGTAACTGTTTCATTAGCAGTTTTTAAATGGGGGGCCAGGGCCCACTGGGGGGCATCTAAACTTCTAAAGGGGCTGCAAAATGTTTTTAAATGCGTCAAAATAAATTCAATTTAATTCATGTTTTTATCTGTGTATAGATCAGGGATTCTCACCCAGGGGGCCGGAAAGAGGATGCAAGATGGCTTAAAATTATTTAAAATAAGACAAAGCAAGCTTTTAAATAAGCTAAAAATCAAGATGACAACTGACATCATATTTTTATTTTATTTCTCAAAAACTGTCTTTTTTTTTTAAAGGTACCCTTGGTGCATATATGAGGACATTTTGAATGTGAGATTTCTAAACATGGAAAAGTTACGAAAACTATTAATATCATGAAGCCATGGAAATTTCCATGATGAACATCTATGTTTATATTAAGCTCTGAAATATGTTGAAATTGTTATAATGTAGGATTTGCAGAGAAATTGCCATAAAGTAAAATATATATATATTTTAAAAACTTTATCCCACAATCATAGTCATTTAAATTCAATATTGAACCTGAAGAAAACCCAGTTCTTTGAATCTACTGAAATTACAGAATTTAATCATTTTAATATTAAATATAATTTCCTTATAATTACTTTAGATCGACTGTGTAATTTCTGTGAATAAAAAAAACTTTGAAAACAAGCAGCTTTGTCATTACAGTGGAAGTACCAGACATATCAATACAAAAAGGTTAAGAACCACTGAACTTTTATTGCATCAGGAAAACGTGATGATGCACAAAATATCTTGAGATTATTGGTATCTGATGATAATAGTTTAAGGGAATCAACTTTTTGCAACAATTTAAGCAAACGTACACGAGGAGATATTGTATGTGTGATGAATACCTGCCAAATACAGTCCTACTGTCAATGGCCACTTTAAGCATATTACATGGTTTCAATTTACTAACCTTTCCTACTTGTATCATATTTATAAGTACAGAAACGACGACACCATACCTCTCTTTTTTCCATGGCCGGATAGAGCTGAACTGGAGTCCGTGCATCACTTGCAAATTAGCCAAGAGTGTTTATGAGAACAAAGTTTAGATTGTGGTTTCCAGCATTTGCGTCCGCCCATGGCAGTCTCTGACCTAATCATCACTTCATTATAAAAATAAAGAAAAGCATAAAACAGAACTCAACATGTTACTGTAGTTTGCATGCCTGTAAATGAACACAATACAGCTTTAAGCAACAACTTTTATATAACTTAAGTTACAACTGTAACAAATTACTAAACATGATCTTCTGCCTAATCCAAAATCCACTATCATCAGTCATCTAATCTTTCTCTCTCGTATTCACGATATATCTGCAGTCACGGGCGTATTTGACAGGAATAACGTTTCTTTGGGTTTTTACTGCAATATAAAAAGTTTTCTAACCCTAGCAGAGTCCCAGTCCGCTAACTTTGGCTAGCGGGCTAGTTCGCAGGTAACGTTATTACGCACGAGCCTCTTTTCATATCCTCCAGGCGGCTATTAAAAATAAAACAAATTAAGATTGTCGCTATACTTCAACATCGATTTGACACTGTCAATGAAGCCTGTCTGTTTGCAAATATTGATGCAACAGTAGAGTGTCGTATCTCATGAGGCCTACCAAGTGTTTTGTTGCAGCTGCTCTCAATAGCTTGGACCGAGTGCCTAGGCAACGGGTTAAACCATTATGGACAGAGAGGGGAGAGAAGGCTGCGTTGAGACGTCGTTACACATTATCCCAGCAGGTGGCGGTGTTTGCTCTATAAATCAATAAGCAACCAAAAAGTAAGTTTAGAATAGAGCAGTGAATGACTGAACTATTCAATTAATATTTTATTTTTAAAGTAATTCATTCATTACGTATATGAAACCTTAATATCGTGAAAATGCAATGTAAAATAACAGTTTTCAATTTGAATATATTTTGAAATGTTATTTATTCCTGTCATGGTAAAGCTGAATTTTTTGGCATCACTCCAGTTTTCAGTCACATGATCCTTCAGAAATCATTCTCATATGCTGATTTGATGCTCAATTATTATTGATTATCGTTGGTACTAAGTTATTATGGTTATTATATCAATGTTAAAACAGTTTTTGCTAATATTTTGTGTAAACCATGATAGTTTTTCCAGGATTCTCTAAATTAATAGAAAGTTCAAAAGAGTAGCATGTATTATCTTAAGTAACCACAAACTTTTGAATGGTCGTGTATTAAAGTTTCCACAAAAATATTACAAGCTGCAAATATTGTAGTAAAGATTGATTGATTGATTGATTGATTGATTGATTGATTGATTGATTGATTGATTGATTGACTGACTGATTGTTTGTTTGTTTGTGTGTGTGTGTGTGTGTGTGTACTGTTCCTACTTAAATGTATTTTGAAAAGTTTTGTGAGATGGCTGGTTTAGAGGTAGGGTTAGTGTAATAGGGGCATAGAAATATACAGTTTGTACAGTATAAAAACCATTACGTCTATGGAATGTCCCCATTTAGATAATGTAAACATGAGTGTGCTTGTTTGTGGTCCTAAACGCTATGTTGCGGGGACAAAATGTCTATGTAAAGTCCCCACATGAAAACCCAACCCGTGTGTGTGTGTGTGTGTGTGTGTGTGATTTTATTATTGTAAAATCAGTCATATTTGAAATTCCGATTTCTTTAATGCAGTACCACAGTAAATAAAAATAAGTGAACTGGAGACAAATGTATTACATATTAATTTATTAAATTATATGTGGGTGGCCTGCAGTAAAATACTCCCTATACTAAAGTAAAACAAGCATTAGTGGTTTTTACACAGGTAGGCTATAACATAAATAACACACACACACACACACACACACACACACACACACACACACACACACACGCACGCACGCACACACACACACGCACACGCACGCACGCTACGGTCAGCTCTACGCCAGGCTTAAATTGGAGGAATTGGGCATTCATTTATGGCACAGTACTTTACATGTCATTCCATGAGAAAAGCATAAAAGCTTTTAAATGATGGAAGTCTTCGTACTGTATATGTAAAGTCAGACATAAAGTACAGGCATGTGCTCACACAGTCAGACAAAGGTTTTATATTATCCACTACTATTAATTCCCCGTTTAGTTTAGCCCTGCTTTGCATTCTTAATTAAACAACAATTCAGGTTTTAATTGCAGAATAAGAACATGCAAGAAAAGTCAAACAAAAACAATGTTGATGCAAACAACAGTTCCTAACACATCTATATTTACATTTATAACATACATTTTTGTCTAAAAGAATGTGCATTAAGTTAATACAAACAATAATTACAGTAGTAAAAAAAAATACCTCAATATGGCAATGAAATTTAACAATGAAGTGAAATGACCACACTTGCTCATTAGCTTTCAACCCGTATCACAGTGCCAGTTTTGTTTCAGTGGAAGTTTACCGTAATCATTGAAGTCTCTCATAATAACATACATTCTCTGCCCTCATTTTCTGGTGATATTGCAGATTTTGAGCTCATAAAAGAGAACATATGCCTGATTGGACTGAAGCTTCTCCTCTGATATTGCATCAACACTGTGGAAAGAACAGAACATTGTCTTCGGCTCAATGAATCAAAATAACTATTAATTCATTTTTACGATAAAAAATTCGGAATGTCATTGAACAAAGAAATACAATTTTTCTAAATTATCTCTAATAGGAGAAATGTACTATTCTTGTATTGTGAGAGAATTTCTCTGTGAATTGCCCTTTAAATACCATTATTTTATTGTATAGAAAAGGTCAGAGCAAAAACTGCACCCACCATGAGTCATTATAGTAGCACCAACCCTCCTCCTTTCGACATGCGGCTGTGTAGTGACCCATATTTACTGTTCCCGAATGATTGCACACTGCATACAGATCATACAGCACTGGACCTGAAAGCAAACATTCGGCCATATTGCATACACCACTAAACATAACAATATTCAAACTTTATCATGAATAAAGTTAGTACATTATACTCATTCTTGTTCTCACCACAGTCAACAGGTCCAAATGGCCCCAAATCCAGCCCGGTCAGGGGGAAGGAAACGGACACTGTGCTTTTAGAGATTGAGTACCTTGACATGGTAAATCGATTTAAGTCTGAGATGGTAGGTTAAGTCAATGTTGATAAGCAAGTATCTTTTGTGAAGCATGTACTTTGATTAAATGGATAGTTCACCCAAAAATGAAAAATCTCTCATCATTTACTCAACCTCATGTCATCCCAGATGTTTAGCTATGACTTTCTTTATTTCGATAAATAAACCATCTCTGTAAATCCATCCATATAATGCCATTGAATGGGTGTCGCTCGGTTGATGCTTGAAAAACCACACACAGCAAGCAACCCCAGTGGATGAATCAATGTCTTCTAAAGCGAAACAAAAGGTGTGTGTAAGAAAAACACTAATATTTGCCACTTTTTAAACTATTAATCGTTGCTTCCGGTCTACTGTAACAATCATGAGAGGGGATGTTGTGACACGTGATGTAAGCGTGGAAGAACAGAGAACCGCTACTTCTAAGCTTTTTATAGTTAAAAAAAGTTACAAATATTACACACACCAATTGTTTCGCTTCAGAAGACATTGATTCATCCACTGGGGTCGTATGGATTTCTGTCACGATCGCCAATTCACCCATTTTTGCATTATCTGGACTCAAAGAGTTTGATTATAAAATCTTTGTGTGTATCTGAAGAAGGCACCGACTGACTGAAAAGGATACGTATTACCAGGATTCTAGGAAACCTTTGGATGGTCAGTCTTTTTGTGCTCTCAGTGCGACGGCTACACCGCTCACACATCTAAGACACATACAAATACACACGTATCAGCATAAAAGACCATTTTCAATGCAGGCAAACTAGCCATGCTTTTCACTTACCGGTGAGTTTTCTTTATCAAGTTTTTCCTCTTGTGAAAAGAGGTCTAGACAATCTTTCAGAGTGACAGTTCGGCCATAATCACTCTTCTGCAACACACACACAAAAGAATGACATATCATCCACACAACACCAGAAGGTGAGGACAGGGCCTGAGATTGTTACCTTTGGGATGGGGAGTGACAGGTCACAAAACACGTCAAAGGTGTTGGAGTAATGGGAGCAGACTGAACAGTGCAAGGAACTGCGCAGCTGACCAGAGAACAAATCTGTGACAGGGGAAAAATGTTTAGGCACCAGGTGACCAGGGTTTAAGATGGACAGAAACGAAAAAAGATACAGACATAGCACAACATATCAATATTTTTTTTTTTTTTTTTTTTTTTTTTTACAGCAGATACCACACTATAAGAGACTTTCGCAACTTCCATTTCATGCAGACTTTAACCAAATAATCATTAAACAATAAAAACAAAACACAAATATACATAATGATTATGATAATAATATGTAAGGTGCCTGAAGTTGAATACAGCATGTAGTAAATGACTATTTCTAATTGTCTAATGTTTAATTGTTCATTATTTTATCTTATTTTACTTTGGTATTTTTACAAGATGTGTTTCTGTAAAAATGTCCACTTAAGTGAAGTAAAAAGTGTATAATTTACGCAACCAAAATATTTAAACATTAAGTCAATTTTACTGTTGATTGCACAGTGATGTACAGCTGTAATGCCCTCCAGATGGCATTTAAAATGAAAGTTATTAAAGAACCAAAAACATACCTCATTATATTAACAGCGCTGCGACTTACCAACAACTTTACTGTCATCCCTGTCAAGATGCCTCTGCCACATTGCAAAGGCCTCCTCTGAAATCCTGCAGGAGAGAATGAGGGATTTAGAGGATCTGAATGCCTCCAGCTCAGTTTGTTCCTCACAGGATCTGTCTCTTCACGGAGTACCTGAATCGTGTGTATGTTGATTCCTTCATTTGAATAACTGCAGGACGTTTGGATGGGCGACGGTTAATTTCTGTATGTAGCCTGTCCAGGAGGAACCGCAAGAACTCCTGAGCATCTTGTTGACTGTGTGAGAGAAAGAAAATTATATTATATATAGTACATAACAATTGCTGATATTATCGACAAATGTTAATACACTAACACATATTTTCAATATTGTGTTATTCAGAGAGTGTAATTAGTATTGAACATACCTATAGCCACTGAAATAAGGCACAGACTCTTTAAAGACACGATAAAACTTCCCAGGATTCACAGTGGTTTCCCCGCCATCACATTCCCACAGGCCAGCCAAAACTTTAGAGAATTCTATGAGTAAGTCACAAACAAAAATGTGCCTTAGAAGGAATGTCTGATTTTAAAATTTAAATAAAATAAAATGTAATAAATAAATACATAATTAATTACAATAATAAATAAATACATTTGTGTTCTTTAAATAATCATGCTACCCAAACCCAAACCATGGCACTCAAATTTAGAATTTCTGCACCACTACACCCCAAAAAATCATGTTTAAATGACAGCTGAAGTGTTTCTACCATTCATAAGCACAGGTTCTTGGTTGGAGTGCTTGTCCTGAAGAAAGGCTTTCATCAGACAGTAGTCCCGAAGACTACGAGTGTGGGAGAGACACTGCACGATGGCATTGAGAAAACACTTAAAACAAAAGATATTGTGTGAATATGTATGGAAAACCATACCATTTTTCTTTGAAACATAAGCATTACATCATATTTGTTAATTAGAACATACAGTATTTCCAACGTTACGCAATCCAACTTGTCCATTTCCCAGTTGCAGCTCTCTCTGTGGGATAAGCAAATGACTGTCAGTGTGACTTCCACGGTTACATCGCAAGCGGTGACAGGTTTGCCATTTACCGTCCCTCCTACAGTGATTGAGTGTCCATTTATAGATCTCTGATCCAATTAAAAAAAGGGAGGGAAGGCACTATCACATATGACACTGAGGTTAAGACCAGATATACTTAACTCAAACGGCGGTGAGCACCTTTAAAGGTGCCACAACACATCTTTTTTTATATGAATTATTAAGCCTTTGGTTCCCAACATGTGTTGACAGGATAGGTCTATAAATAATCTGTGTCATGTGTCAAACACACTAATAAGACAGATTGTGTCAATGGCACAGCACTGTCTCACCTCTTTGTCCGTCACCAGCAGAAGACCCATGATGGACGTGTATAGTACAGACTGTGAAATGTCAACGTTCTCTGGCTGAAGGCCGTTTTGAGAGACTAGGGTGCGGCACAGGGCCTGACACGAGTTATCCATTGCAGTGGATTCAGCTCTTGGCATTCCTACGTCTTCATGCCATGCAACCTCACCAAGGAATCTGTGAATGAAATAACGAATAAAACAAATCATTCTTAGATAGTAAATATTGCTGAAAACGTTCGTTTTTCATTCAGTCCTCTTCCCAGCATGCACTGGAACATGAAAATTTAATATGGTCACATTGTTTGACAGCATGTCAGTTTTGCAGTGATGGGAACATGACATTTTAAGTTCAGTCAAGACTTTTTTTTTTTTACAATGTCTCAAAAAAATGCCTGCTACATCATCTATTTTGACTGATCAATAAATTATGAATTGAGTGAATATAAAGAGAGATGATCATTCACTTGCCTATAAAGAATGCAGCAGTTTCAATGCTTGGCTGTTATATTTAGAAACATTAAATTAAAATAGCATAACCATTTATAAAATAAATGATTTAAAAGGTATATTTCTCATTAAATGATTTTGCATTAATTACATAAAATGATCACACAAACATTTTGTGTACTCACCCTTAGAAACCCAGTATCGTCTCAACAAACTTTTTTTTGATTGATGGTCAGTGAGCGCCAGTGTTTCTGTCTAAACATCAAGCCCAATTTTAAAGCATTTAAGCGTTATTGTCCTCTCATTACAGCAGCAGTTCACTTGTCTGTCCTGTCGCTGTGTTTGTGAACAAGCTTTAATCATGGCTAATCTTTCCTCTCTCTCTCTGTAGGACCTTCTATAATTAGCCATGTCTTCTCCTTTGCTTAAGAACAGCTTTGACACTCAGAGTAGCATCTACACGCAACTCACAGTCACTATATTAAATTGAAGCACATGTTTAAAAAAATTCTGGAAAGCATGCCAGTTTCAAAGAGACAGGATGGTTGTAACACCTTTTGCTTCAGCATTTGCAACTTACTGAATTTTTAGAGTGCTCAAACTTTTATAGGACATACCCACATTTGTTTACTATAAAGTCACCATTCAAACCTCTGTAAGAATATCACAGCATTTATGAGTTGATGTTACAACCTACCCCACTACCAGGTTTGGGTGTCTAAAGACTATGTGTGAATATTCTCACAATGGTGATAAACGAATGTTGTTAAAGGGACAGTTCACCCAAAAATAAAATAAATTGTCATCATTTACTCACCCAACCCTGTATGAGTTTCCCTCCTCTGTTGAACACAAAAGTATATATTTAGTAATATAGTAAAATATATATTTAAATTAACAAAAAACACAAAATTGTCAAGTCTATGGACGGGTTATTAATGTGTAAGCGTCGATTTAATTATGTTATTTCGCAGTATATCCCTCTACTGGACGCATCAGGAACAACAGGGTCCTAAAACTGCCGGGGCGTAAAACTGTCAGGGGCGTATATCTGCCGGCTCCAGGTCTGCAGCCTCCCCATATAGGAGTAATCCATCAGTGGCGGGCAAAGACATAATAATAATAATTATAACAAACAATCATTGGCTATTACCATCACAGATCACCTAGGGGTCGCCCTCCTGATTAATTTAACTGAGAAGCCTATAATCATTTATAGAATCATAGCAGATTCAAATGATTCAAGATTCAAACTTATCCCAGATAGTATGACAGCATGCCCCATTATTGGGAAATAAAATTGACATGTAGAAAAAGACTTTACGGTATGTGCCTATATAGTAATTGACTATAAAATATAAACCTACCATGAGAAATATACTTTGGAGTAAAAAGTGTGACAACGAACACTAGTCCGTGCTGTAACAATGCATTCAGATAATAATCTTAACCGTTTTGTTAAAAACTAAATAGGTCCACATTTATGGAAGTTGTCAGTTTATTGAAAACAAAACGGTAACCATTATGCACTGAAAGGAAAATGGCAACAAATACCTTTTTATAATGTCTCAGAGTACCTTTAAATAAGAGAAATGGCAAAATAAGCATTTAGGCTACATTCAGGTTATATCAATAAAAAACTTGCAGTACTATTTGCCCTAAATGCTGCCAAAGTACAATGACAAAAAGCCTGGCCGCACATAAGATTAGTTACCGTTCAGATTGCACTAATGTTGTTGTTTATTAACCAGATCAGATGGAGAGGAATGATACGCAATTCAAACACAATTTAAAGGAAAGAGGAACTGAGAGATGGTTCACATATATTCACCAAATATCACACATAATTCTCAATGTAAAAAAATAAACAGCTTAAGCAAGAAGCAAAAATGTAATACAAAATATTCCCTCTAATAGACATGACACCAACAAACATTCACATATGAAGTATACTAATATGGCTACATGACGTTATTCTCACAGTTTCTAGACAGGGTGTGAGACAGAAACTGCGTGATTTCATTTGTCCTGAGAAAGTCAGCTGTCACGGTCACAAGTGAAATCCTGTGTTTGTGACCTGGGGAGCACCGGTAGCCCTGGCCTATGTGTCCGGCATCTCCACATCAGAGTTAAGGTTCAGTTCAGCGATGTTGTTATAGAGCGCCGGGTCAGGGCTTAAACGCTTAAAAGAGGGTGTGCAGTGGCTGCTTTGAGCCTGTCTGTCCCGTGACTGGACCATTGCTTGGCGTAGACAAGAAATCCATTGCTGTTTATTGAAGGAGTCATTAGCCTGCAGGCTGTGGGATTGAGACTTGGAGCGGCCTGTGGTGCTCACACGGAAACAGTTCTTCACTGGGGATGGTAGAAGCAGAAAATGTGGAATTAGAACGAGATGAAAAAGCAATTAGAAAGTCTCCAATCTCAAATAAAAAGGATATATAAAAGAGACAAATAATCAATTCAAACCTTTAATCCATTGCATGCATTATAAAAGCATTTTATAACTCTATGGTACTGTTCATTTTGGTCCCACTTGCTATATAAACAAAAAATTGGGGACATGATTCGAAAAAGCTAAATGGTCACAAATCTGCTACAGTAAAAACAAAAACAAAAAAAAACAACGCAATGAAGGGCTAAAACATCAAGAGTGAAAAATTACACACCCATTCAGTGGTGTGTGTGTGTGTGTGTGTAATGGCGTATTCACACCAGCCTTGTTTGGTTCGATTGAATCGAACTCTAGTTCGTTTCCCCCCTTGGTGCGGACCTTTTGGGCAGGTGTGAATACAGCAATCGAACTCGGGTGCGGACCAAACAACCGAACCGAGACCCAGCTGAAGAGGTGGTCTCGGTACGGTTCCAAACGAACTCTGGTACGGTTCGTTTACGGTGTGAACATGAACCGACCCAATTGCAAGAAAGCACTGCGCCTTTGAGTTAACAGGCTTCCGTAGTCGGAGATTTTGGCATAATGGTTTGTGTTATTGTTGTTCAAGTGCGAAAGAGAATTCCATTCCGGCGCGCTGTCTGGCCACACGATACTGTTGCGCGTCTTTCTGCGCGTCGTGTGTGCATCATTGGAATGAATGAGTGAGTGTGAGTGAGTGAGTGAATGAGTGAGCATTCACATACAGAGCGTTCTCTTTAGTCTAATCGCGCATAGATGCAAAAAAAGCTTTTGCAGTTCATATAATGTAATGATAGTTACAATACAAGAATGATGCTGCGTTAAAATGGACAAACTTAATCGCAAGCGTTAACATTGACAGCACTTGTTAGCAGTATATACAATAAGAATCTCATTATTTGAATGTGTGAACATAGCCCCTCTCTATGAATCAAAACTTTATACCTTATCCGTCTTCTGCGCAGTTTCTTCATATTGCGTTTGTACAGAATAGCACAAAATTAGTAAAAGAACAAATATTGCAGTACGAAATATCTCCATGCTGAGCCTTTTTTGCACTTCCTGATTTCCCTACTTGAGAATCCTTGTCCAATGAATGGACGACCTTAGCACACGTGTGGTTTTGTTTACAAATTTTGGTTCACTTGCAAAAAGAGCAGTGTGAAAGCGAACCGTACCAAAAAAAATAAAAAAATTATTTGGTCCGGACCAAAGCAAGTGAACTATCGGACTTTCCTGGTGTGAATACACCCTAATTTTTCACTCCTGATGTTTTAGAGTTTAACCCCTTCATTGCTGTTTTTTTGACCCCTTCATTGACTGTGACAGTTTGTGAAATAAAATCAATCACTCAGCCACAATGCAGGAAAAAGCACACAGAAATTAAGGAGTTAAGCTCTAAACCATCAAGAGTGTAAAATAGACACACAACACACACACACATACAGTTTACACACAGAAATGAACGGGTGAAACTGTAACAAAGCAAATTTGGAGAATTTGTGAAATAGAATCAGTAATTCATCCAAAATGCAGAAAACACAAAAATTAGTTTTTTCAAATATTTTCAATATTAACCTTATTGCCATCCTGTATGTGTCATATGCTTGCATCACCTTATTTAAAATTATTACAAGTGTAAGATGCAATGCCATTACCTTTATCATTGCCTGTAAAGGCCCCACGAAAGGATCCAGAACTGCTTGGCTCTCCATCGGGAAGGTCCTCCAGATGGAGGTGAGCAGCTGGGAGGGGCTGACGATACACCTGGAACACGAGCGGCCCTTCCCTGTCCTGTGCCACTGCTCGAGTCAAAACCAAAACTAGCTCAAAGAGGAACACATGCAGCTTCTACAGAGGAGAAAGGAGGATTAGCATATACGTGTGGGTTGTGTTTAGTTATTAGACCTGCTTTGTTAATTCAAAAGTCATTTTGTAAACAGATTACAATGTATGAGGTACCTGTCCTTTAGTACTCTTCAGTTCACCGTGACAGTACAAAAAACGAGAGGCCTGTATTTCTGGAACCCTCTGGCTGTCTTCTGAGTAGCTCAGACCCCGTCTGTAAAACTGACACTCAGCCTCCCCAGTTTTAAGATTGACTTCTGTTATAATCCTTTGGATAAGTTCCATCTGATGTAACAAGAAATCAAAGAATGCATTAATAATTAGATCATTTCATTTATAAATTGCATTATACAACAGTTAGTTCTAGTCTTTGAATTTGATTGGCATTCCAAGAGTACTACTATACAGTCCAACAACTCTGTGGACCTTTTCACAGTTTGTATCACTCCGCTTGTCCGTGTTTGCGCATTGCTGAAAGACTGTCATGGTTATATTTTTCAGCTGGTTGCATTGTTACACCAGTAGCTGGTGAAAGAAAATGACTGTATTTATGAGTGAATACTTGAAACGCTCCACCGATTCATTTAATCTGTTTTAGAGAAACACTGTTGAAGTAAATCACCTAAACAATTTTGTGAATATTTGTCTGTTCTCACTCTCTTTCTTTGCGTTATTCCCGCTCATTTGCAAGGTACGCTTCACACACAGATGATTTGGCACAAAAATGTGCAAATAAAAAAGGTATTGGGTTTGTACATAGTCCTGGCTGTGTAAATAGGACAAACAACTAAGTGGATCATCTACGGAGCACAAAAGCACCCTTGTAGATTTAGAGCAATAGAGTAGAGTAGAGCAATGTAGAATCAGCAATATAGGGCCTATACACAGCATGAAGGAGAAGAGAGAGAGTCTTTCTTTTGTAGAAAGACTGTAGAGATGCCTGAAATTTGACCAAAGCATAAAAGGTCTGAGGAATATAATTGGAAGAAGAATTAGGCAAGAGCTTGATCTGCATTAATATTGGAAAAGCTTTCCAGCACTGGATAGAGAGACATTAGACTGCGGGAAGCTCTGAAAATGAACACGAGGTTGCTTTGTTTCTAATCAATACGTGAGAAAGTTTGTTTTTTGCTGTTTCACAGAACAAAGATA